GCATAGCATCGATTGGAGGCCGCAGCTATCTCTGCTCACCAAGCAACAACTTTCTGAACACTGCAGGTCTGACAACAAAGACGACGAAATCTCGGAGATAGAATACTGCGTCTCGTTGGAAGATGCTATCCGTGCACGACTCCAACGCGTTCTTCCCCAACTCCAAGGTTCAGTAGAACCAGGGACACCGGCTCATCTCAAGCGGTTCGTGATGTGGGTCGAGCGACAGCTTCGGCAAACGCCAGGCAAAGCTGCGGATGAAGTTAGCGATGCACAGCTCGGCTTGAGGCTTGAACGCCTTCGAGAGAGCAGACCATCGTGGAGACTGTGTCTTGAAGTGCTCGAAAACTTGCCTTCGATCATCCGCGGCGAGACTGATGCACTCGACCTACTCTTCACGACACCCGTAGCTCACGACTTGTACGACGCCTTCTTCCGCCGCACATGCAATAAGAAGCTATTCAGCTATCTTGAACTGACCGTCCATCAAAATCCTAATCAGAAGATCCTTGAAGTTGGAGCGGGAACTGGTGGCATGACGAATCAGATCCTGACGATGCTACACCAGATTGAACAGCGTACTGGTGGCACTTCTTTCCGCGAGTACGTCTACACCGACATCTCACCCGCCTACTTCGAAGGGGCTCGTGAACGCTTCGCAAACTACGGGAGTCGCATGACCTTCAAGACCATCGATCTCGAAAGCGACATAAGTGCAAACATCGAGCCTGGATCGTGCGACATGATCCTCGCAGGTAGTGTGTTGCATGCGACCAAGAACCTGGCCAAAACTATGCGCAATCTTCGGCGTGCACTGAAACCCGGCGGCCAGCTCGTCTTCCTGGAAATTACTCAAGCTCCAGAGTGCTTCCCTATGAGCTTTGGTTTTGGTGTGCTTCCAGGGTGGTGGTGTGCCGAGGAAACGTCCCGCGAATGGTGCCCGACGCTCACCGAGATGCAGTGGGACGTTTTGCTGAAAGAGACTGGGTTTACTGGTAACGAGTTGCTTGTCAAGGATTATGAAGACCCAAGGGCGAACTATGTGACTATCATCACTTCCACAGCCGAGAAGACATCGAAAGCACTAATTGAGGTCTCGAGGGTGTTACTCATCATCAATGATCATAACGAGCAGCAAGAAAATCTGGCTCGAGCGGTGTCGACTGCGATATCCGCTTCCTTCACTTGTCAAGTGATCGTTTTTACGCTTTCTCACATCGCTGAAGCGGACGTTGGTCCATCAGATTGCATCCTATTCCTCGCAGATATGCAGGGATCAATCTTGGCCGAGCCGTCGAAAGATGAGTTCCGACTAATTCAGACCTGGTTGCAACAGTCGAAACACCTGCTCTGGGTGACTGCAGCACTCACATCTCAGCAATTTTCGCCGTGTACCAGTATCAAGGACGGTTTGCTTAGAGTGATACGAGCCGAGAACAATAGCAAGAGAATCATTTCTCTCACTCTGGACCACGACGCTTCCGACATCCAGATTTGCCAGCAGTGCATCGTACAGGTCTTTCGCTCATCATTTGAGGACGCGTCCCCCGAGCTAGAGTACACGGTTCGAGACGGAAAGATCATGACTGGTCGTCTCGTCTTCGAAGCTGGCCTTAATAGGGATGTGGTTTCTTGCATGTCACCGATCACAAGACACGGAGCATGGCTTCCAGGGCCACCTCTAAAACTACACGTTGCTTCGCGAGGCTCTCTCGAATCGTTGTGTTTCATCGAAGACCATTACCCCACCGAGCTCGGTCCAACGGAGATTGAGATTGAGACCCAAGCCTGGGCCGTCGGCTTCCGCGACGTATTTGGTGCACTTGGCCGCCTGGATGAAAACGAATTCGGCACGGATTGCGCCGGCACGGTCAAAAGGGTTGGTCCCAAGTGTACTCAGCTACGTCCTGGCGATCGCGTGAGCACATCAATGTTTGGCTGCATGCGCACGTACGTATACTGCGACGAGGGAGATGCCATCAAGGTTCCGGACACGCTCTCTCTAGAGGAGGCTTGTGGAGTCATCAACCCAGTAATGACTGCGTGGCACTCTCTCGTGGATGTAGCGCGCCTTCAGAAGGGTGAGAAGATACTCATCCATGCCGCGTCCGGCGGTACAGGACAGGTCGCGATCCAAGTCGCCCAAATGCTCGGTGCTGAAGTCTACGCTACTGTGGGTTATGATCATAAGAAAGAGTTGCTTATCAAGGAATATGGTGTTCCAGCTGCCAACATCTTCTATTCCAGAGATCTGAGCTTTGCTCAAGGCATCATGCGAGTCACCAACGGATATGGTGTAGATGTGGTGCTAAACTCACTAGTTGGCGAAGGTCAGAAAGCATCATGGGAATGTGTCGCCCCGTATGGAAGATTCGTTGAGATAGGCAAGGCCGACATCTACGCAAACTCTCCGCTACCCATGGCGAGTTTCGCAAACAACAGAACTTTCTCCGCAGTAGACCTTCGCGACCTTGCTTTCCACCGGCCAGAAGCGTCAAGAGCGCTCTTCCACAAGACAATGAACTTAGTCCAGGAAAAGGCAATCGTCTGCCCAACACCATTGAACAAATTTCCAGTATCGGCGATCGAAGACGCCTTCCGGTACATGCAAACCGGTAGAAGCACGGGACGTGTTATTGTCACGCTGGACCATGGTGATGTCGTACCGGCAAGTCATGTATACTTTCCTAGCATTTGAGTTCTGGCTGACGCATAGTAGAAAAATCTCATACATCGCCCTACCTGGACATTCGATCCCGAAGCCGCGTATCTAGTCGTCGGAGGTTTGGGGGGCGTGGGACGTTCTATCCTCCGCTGGATGATATCGAGAGGCGCAAAACAGCTGATCGTGCCCTCCAGATCTGGACCTCGCAGCGAAGCTGCCTTTAAGATTGTGATCGACGCAATCAAATTGGGTGTCACCATTCTAACGCCAAGCTGCGATGTTTCCGATATGGCTTCACTCAAATTGATGCTTGATGAGTGTGCACCAGTCGTAGGTCCAATTCGTGGGTGCATAAATGCGGCCATGGTTCTACAAGATTCGATTTTCGACAACATGACGCACGCTCAATGGAAAAAGACCATCGATTCGAAAGTCAAGTCGTCGTGGAATCTTCATGCTCTACTCCCGAATGACCTAGACTTCTTCATCCTGCTCTCATCTGCGGCTGGCGTTCTTGGCAACGCCGGTCAATCGAACTACGCAGCAGGCTGCACATTCCAAGATGCACTGTCTTCGTTTCGGAAGTCTTTGGGACGAAAAGCAGTGTCGATTGACCTCGGTCTGATGAGTACGGTTGGCTTCGTGGCGGAAAATGAAGGCGTCAAGAAAACCCTGGAGAGGTATGAAGGTTTGAGAGCAATCGAAGAAGCAGAGTTCCTCGCACTCATGGATATCCTTTGCGACCTTGAGCACCCGCCAAATCTTTCAACCATCAATGGTCAAGTAACCATGGGTATCACCACGCCGGCAGATCTGGCCCTCGACAACGGCACCATGCCCATGGAGCATATGCACCAATCCCTCTTCGCCTACTTCGTTCAGACAGAAGCCATGGCGAGCAGCTCCATGCAAGCAAACGGTGTGAACTCGGCAGCCCTGTTTCGACAAGCCGAGAGTGTGGAGGAGATGGATCGCGTCGTCGTCGAATCCTTGGTAAGGAAGATAGCACGTGCGCTGTCCATGTCTTTGGAAGACGTAGATACAGACAAGGCTTTACACCTGTACGGAGTCGACTCGCTCGTTGCGGTGGAAATTCGTAACTGGATCACCAAGGAATTCATGGCGGATGTGCCAGTGTTCGAGTTGATGAGCGGAAAGTCGATTCTCGCTATCGCACAGCTGGTGACTAAGAACAGTCAGATCAGGAAGGTGGTAGCCAAAGCATAAGCTTTGTGGGGTCTTAGGTTGCTAGAGCAGATCCGTACCTGTGCCAGAACAAACTATCGCACTACATTTTGATCAGGCCAGCCTCGTCTTCCATCCACTATAATCACTGTACTCATTGCTTAAGCTAACGGTAGCTTCACTTTGCCGTACTTTGTTTGGCCTACGAGCTGACCAAAGTATGTTCTCGCTCGGGGCGGGAGGAAAGAGGTCATCGAGCGGCAGGACTGGTGGATTCGACGGTTTCGGAGGCACTCAGGGAGTCAGGACAAGCGGGTGGTGTGTGGATAATATTCTCAATAGAGTAGACGAGACGAGCGCCGTCGATTGCGCGCGATTCGACGATGATCCGACGTCATTGTGTGTGGTAGTTTCGCGTTGTAGGTAGTAGTATGCACGCGATCAGCCCCACGCGCTGCTGGTAGAGCGCGGAAGTGGGGCGTTAATCGCAACTACTGCGGCCGGGCGGCTCGAGACCTCTCACGCAACAACCATCGCCATAACACGCTCCGCGAGAACCAAATGCTTGTGTTTAGCACTGCTGAAGACCTGAGATTTGCTAGGCAACGATCATCGGTCTTCTACTTTAGTGAACGGTAGGATCGTAATTGCTAAACTAACCCGCACGCTCACTGTCCGCATCGCCATGTCTAGAGTTCATGAACAGTCACCTTGCGCGCAATCATCTCGACTCTGTCGTAGAAAAGAAGCTAGAGTTCACGTAGCTTGTCAACCGCGTATAGGTTCCCATGGTGATTTGACAAAGCAAACACCATACAATCCACAGACACCAGACCATAAGACAGAAATAGTAATGCAAGCGCGGATGATACCGAATGCCTACAGCGAGAAACAGCCAGCCCTGGCAATAGACAACGAAAGCCAAAGTTGACTCGAATAACCCCGCGACCTCATTCAGAGCTCGCACTTCCTTAAAGAGAGAAACTAGACATGTCTTTAGAGCAGAGTAATTCCTCCTACTACAAGAAAGCGTGTGGGAGCTGGTGACACAGAGAAAGAGAATCCAGAAGACGACAATCCTATCAATTTTTGTGAACTCTCTTGTTAGGAGATAATGTAAGCCGTAATTTAAAGCTTATTATTTCTGTATCTGCCTAATCTTTTCTTTGTATGAGGTAAGTGCTGTTGTTACTATCCTTGCTTTTCCACGCTCAAGGCATTGAGAAGTTGAGAAGCTTACGCAAAGTGGCTGCACAACTCAAACGCTGCGTAAACGGAAAAGATCCGATCTCTGTCCTGGAAGATCTCTCGGAACCAGTTCTTACGGATATCGGCGCTCATGACAGCAATAGCGATACCCTCGCTGGGGAGGTCGTTGGCGGGGTCGAACTGGGCGCGAAGAGTTCCGAGGTAGTCCCCCTCTCATTCCATCGCCCAACGTAGCCTGCATTCCGCCTCCTTGCGGCTCGCCACGTGGACTTCCGGATTGTTGTTGATCTGAGCCAGGACGTTTCTCTCCGACTCGACGGCTTCTGAGACCCAAGCTTGTAGTTCTGCCATGGTACGCTCAGCTTTGGCAATGTGAGCCCGTGCCGAAGTCTCACGCCTCTGCCTCGCTGCTGCGGACTCGTTGCCGGCTGGCAGGATCTCCAGCAGTCGATCTTGGCGGTAGTGGTTGTGGGTCACCACTCGGACGTTGTGCAGCTGTAAGAGTCTGTAAGAGGAACGATTTCTCGCTCGCAAGCTTTCCATTCAGGATGGAGATTTCCTGTTTCCATCGCGCTCTGACGGTCCTGCCACTCTTTGTCGTTCATATTTGATCCGATGACGGCGAGGTTCAAGTAATCTAGGTGCCCATGTCAAAGATACTCCAAATCTGCGCGACGACGAACCAAGAAAGTCGTTGACCGAAGGGTCGACGATGATGATGTACGATATGTTTAGCCATGCAGGCAGCGGTATGGGGGTAACCGTCGTTGATGATGATGTTAGAAGCTGTGGTACTGACTTTTCCATCTTGAACGTGAAGGAAGTAAAACTATTAAATTTGTGAGCAAGGACGGTAATGATATACATGTGTTTCCGATGCTCTACCCGTGTATGAACAGGAGTTGCACAAGTCGTTGGTGGACTTGGTCCCATATAGTCTCTCTCCGCTGTTCCTCATCAGGGAACATCAGAATACCCGAAAAGATGATGGTAGCGGCCCGGTCTACTGCGGCTTCTGGTTGTTGACTAGGATTCATTGTAAAATCCCATATTGTGAGGAGTTGTCTAAGATCTCCAACGCTCAGGTTGCGTTGTGTGCGAGCAACTGGCATCGGATCTGTTCTTCTTGGCCGCTTGGATTCTCGGTCGAAGAAAATATCAGGGCATTCGTCAGCTGGGCTTGGTGTTCGGTAGTGCTTGAACATTTTGTGGGATGTCTGGAAGTAGTAATGGGGTTCTGGAAGCAAGAATGAGGTATAGTGATGATATCAATGGTAGCACACTGTGATGAAGTGGTAGCGCGTGTTGAAATATTGTAGTGATGAGTTGATGGTTCAACCGAGATCAGCAATGCGGTGACCAACCCGAGGCCCAGAGGAAGGCGGTGGCCCTCCAGCCGATCCAGTCGAATCGGCCAAGGGACCCGCGAACCGCCTTGCGCAATCCCAGAGACGTCTCGAATATGTCTGACATGTTAGCAAAAGAATGTGTATGTGTGGGTACGGGGTTAACAATGCTAAGGAAGGAAAGGCGAGGATTCTGATTATATAGGCATCACGCTAGTGGGCATGGAAGGTACCAATAACAACATGAGATGGCTCTTTCTTGACAACGTGCACGTTGAGCCAGGACCTAGATGTTGAGGCATGGACTCGACGCTGAAGCCATGAGCAGTCACATTGTGTAAGCATGTTCTTTTCACTAAGGCGACTGCAACGATGGGGGTTTGACTGGAGTAGAGAGATCTCGATCACTGCCGGCTATCAAAAATACGTCACCCTTGTCCGCAACTTGAACCCTAAAGCTTCCACTGCCTGCGATCATACTGCTTCGGCCAAATCCCTGATTTGCCTGGCGCAAAGATTCCATTAGGATCAATTGCGTTCTTGATCGTCTCATTAAATCGCCTGAAGACGTTGTTGTTGAACGAGTACGTGTCCATGATCTGATCCATAGCTGCAAGATGCGTTCGGTACTCTCCCCACCCTTGCTTGGCACAATCATCAATCAACGTCTTGATCAGCCATACAACCTTCTTCTTTTGTTCATCGTCTTCGCGATTGAAGACAATGCATACGATATGATGCATTTCGCGCATACCAATCGTGAACGTACCGATGAAGTCAAGGCCAGCTTCATGGCACCGCGCTTTGGTGAGAGCGAATTGCCTAGTCGCGTCATCGCCATTCACTCTAGAAATTGGCGAGAAGAAGAGATGCGAGCCATTTGGTAACCAATCCAGCCATTTCAGCTCATCGTAAGTGGGAATGCCTTGCATAGTTTTGTGGCGCGTATGCAAGATTGAGTTTGCCTCCTTTCGGTCTTCCGGAAAGTAGAATTTTGCTCCTGGTATGGCCGAGAAAGACTCTTTGACAACAGCCCACATGGCGTCACGGATTGGCTGAGGTCCGTAAAGCGCTCCATAGAAGTTCCATCGACCAAGGTCAAGCTTCTTAGCTATAGCGTCTAGTTCCGCGTTCGTAAGAGGCTTGTTGATGTCTGAAGTGTAATCGGATTTATGACCCAAAACAGCGGCGTCCAGAAGGATGTGCCGGATCGTAGGTACATTCTGGAGAACCATATTCAATCGCAGCGGCCGGATGATGTCAACAGCTTGCTCCAAGTCGTCCTCACGAGGAATCGTGATGAGATACGACTGAAAACCACCCGGGTTTGGCATGAGCCATATGCCCATCTTCGTAGCGATACCTAGATTGGATTGAGTGAATATTCCGTCAACATAAGGACCGAAGCCGTAGTTAAACAACTGCGCCGAGTCATTCCAAGGTTGGTCTTGGGGAGGAACGCCATTCTTCTCGTGAGGATGAGGCAGCGCACCCATACCAGTACGAATGACCTCGCCACTCGGTAAGACCAGCTCTATACCGCAATGCATCATGAAATGATCTAAAGATACAATCAGGTGAGAGGTGACAAGCTTTCATGGTACTACTTACCACCATAAGGCGTGTATCCGACACCTCTCTCCATGGTGTTACCCAGAACCGAACCACCACCAAGATCAGGCACGTCAAGCCAAAGCCTGTCACGAAGGTTATGCTCGACGAGGTAGGTATGTAGATCGTGAAATGTGACCCCTAAATTGGCGTCAACGTCGTGAACAGAGCTAAGACCAAATGTGAAGAATTACCTGGCTCGACCAGAGCGTACGCGCCCTCGACATTGACTTCTAGTACCTTGTTCATATGTTTACCCATATTAACGACTACACTACCAGATACGCGTGGAGCGGCGCCTCCGTAGCCCGAGTTTCTTCCGATACTGATGGGCCATAGTGGTACATGGTACTCGTTTGCAGCCTTGACGATAGTCTGGACATCAGCGACGTTGCGGGGGGCGACGACGGCTGAAGCGAGGAAGAAATCTTGCTTCAAGATATGATGAGGGTCGTGCGTGTAGTTTGGCTTCATGTAGTTGCCGTCGCTGACCTGAGATGCGGAGGATATGACCTCAATGTTGTCGCCGCCAAGGTCTCGACAAGCTATTAAGAAATTATTAAAGACATCGCTGCTGACGTTGGGTGGCAGCACAAGTGGCTCTGGGATTGCGACCATAACGACAATGTAGATCAATTGTGTCGTACTACTTTGAATAATGCGGACGAGAATCAATGAGTTATTGAGTAAGACACTCGCTACATGGAGCGTCAGATCCTCTTATAATCCCTCGTGGTATCCATCGTCGCGAGGGCTAGTGGCACATTCGACATGGAGGCAGCTAATGTTGCAGTCGCGTGCGGGGGATTAGCGATGGTATGACACCATCCAAGTAACAGCCGTGTGCCTGTTTGATCGCAAATGGAATGTATCTGGAGATGGGAGAGGGTAATGTCGTGACGGTATCCCCGCTGTGGGAGAAAGCCGTTGTTGCCCTTGGCTGTGGGAATTTCCCGAAGCTAATCCCTAGCCGTATGCGGGGTAATCGCATTCGCGTGACTGCATTCAGGATCTGTTTAGGTTCCATTCAAACAAAACTCGCGAGTGAGTGGGTCATCTATGAGGACGTCATCTTGTTGCTAGAATGCTACTACAACGCAAGGCCGAGCAGCCGGCGTGTTCGTGCTCTCCAGCTCACTAGGAAAGATCATCGCCCTGGAAACATCCGAACAAGAGTTCTCACTCTACCTGAAAGAACATCGCGTGTCATTTGCGATATTGAAGATGTTTCACATCTCTTCAGGACGGAGGAAACTCCAGCGTGAAGTTAAGTGTCGATCATCACCGGGAGTCCAACACCCAATAGGGCGGGCGTGGAATCAGCCTGGTACAGTCGCTGCTAGCGTGTTTCTCCGCTCGAGCTGCTCAACCCTGTGCGTCCTTCACCACACCGATCGAGATCCTTACACCAGAGTTGATCTGCTTAATCAGACCCTGTCTTAAGGGTCCGGTGCTCTGCGATGCTACGAAATGGGGCCTGCGAACTAGAACACAACCTAACAAGCTTATCTACACATGCTTATGTACTATCTCAGCACGCCGTAATCCAGGTGTTTCTTGGGTCATGGATGAGCGCTGGAAATGGAAATACTCACCTGGTTTCGATTTTGGATAGTTAGAATACCTAGGTGAGCAGTTATCGAGTTGCTGGCACACTTGATCCTTGCCTTCGTGGCGGTGATCTTGTACGGCCATTGGTTTACCGACATGCAAGGCTTCAGCTGAGAAATTAGCGCAATAACACTTGGAGGCTGTGCTGGCCACCTATCTACTCCTCAAGACCTCGACTTGCAGCCTGATACCTTCGTTCCACCTTCCTATCGCTTTCAAGTGGTCGTCATGGAGGCCATCGCAGGACTTAGCCTTGCAGCTAATATTCTGCAGGTTGTGGACTTCACCACGAAAATCTTTTCGACTGCGAATGAGTTTCGCAAAGCAGGTTCCACTGTCCAGAATCACGAGTTAGAAGTGGTAGTTCGAGATTTAACGGCGCTCAATGAACGTACCAAATTGTGGGCTCGCCCTAATCCGGCCAGTTCAGGCCCGTTGGAGAAGGACAGCCAGGTACGTTGGATCCGATTTTGAAACTGCACGCCCGTGACACCAGCCTTACATATCTACAGGCACTCGAACATCTGGCTGTTGAGTGCCAGAACATTGCCCAAGAACTTCTCATCAAGCTCGAGTCATTGCGATGTTCCAAAGAGGCGACCATACACAAAACGATCCTCAGCGCACTGAGAGTAATTTGGAACGCGAAAACGATTCAGGAGATCCAGTCTCGACTTCAAACAATGCGTGATGAGCTTCAATTCAGGATCTTGGTCTCTATCAGGGAAGATCAATTGCAAGGATTAGACGAAGACAGTCGAAAGGCCATCCAAAGTATATTGGAAAGCAACAAAGAATTGTCTATGAAAGTGACTTCACAAACCGAAAAGATCCTGGATCGACAGAATGCGGACAGTGCACTAGCTTCATTGCGCCACAATGAGGTCTTGCATGCCATCACCAACCGAAAGTTGCAGCAGTACAGTATACAAGATGTGACACGCGAAATCAAGGATCGTTTACATTTCACCACAAAAGACGACAGATACGATGACATCACTGCCGCCCATCAAAATACCTTCAATTGGGCCTTAGAAGGATGCACGAAAGGTCCCTCAAGCTGGTCCAGCCTCACAGACTGGCTTCGAGCGGATGGTGGCGTGTATTGGATTAACGGGAAGGCCGGATCTGGGAAGTCAACATTGATGAAGTATCTGTATCGAGACTCCCGCTTTATGGAGGCGCTGAGGTTCTGGGCCGGAGAAGATCGTTTGATAGTTGCCGACTTTTACTTCTGGAACCCAGGTGCCCCCATCCAAAAGTCACAGGAAGGCCTGTTTCGTTCGTTGCTTTGGCAGGTGCTCGACCAGAATGCGTCTCTGGCATCTACACTTTTTGCGGAGCAGTACCTACCCCGCGCAGAATGGAACGAATTTCCTACTTTTCACCAACTGCGTCGAGCGTTTGGAAGACTCACGAGCCATTCTCTCAATTCGACGAAGCTTGCAATAGTAATCGATGGTCTGGACGAATTCGATGCTCAGGGAACGACGATGACGGACCTTGGGGAGATGTTAATCACTGCCACCAAAGGTAACAGTGTCAAAGCTCTTTTATCAAGCAGGCCGCTTCCGGCTTTCGTGGATTGTTTCGCTAGTCAGCCGCAGCTCGAGCTCCAGCAGCTCACACATGACGATATTACAGCTTATGTGAATGACAATCTGGTACAGCACCCGCAGATGGTGCATTTGACAGCTGATCACAACAAGGAAGCTAAAGCGCTTGTGGAGGAGATAGTCAGCTCAGCTTCAGGTGTTTTCCTATGGGTTAAACTTGTAGTGAGGTCACTTCTTGGAGGTCTACAAAATGGCGATAAGATCGGGGATCTTCAATCACGACTACAAGACTTACCGCGAGATCTTGAGGCGCTTTTTACACACATGCTGAGTGCCGTGCCTGCCCGCTACAAACCACAAGCGGCATGCATATTCCAAATACTCCGATGCAACGACGAAGGCATTGGGCACCCTCATCCATTCCGCCAGGTCGAGGCAAGGCCGTTGTCCGCTATTAGACTTTCCTATGCCGAAGCAAAGATTAATGAAATCTTAGACGCAGACATCTCTCCATTATCAGAAGATCAGATGAGGGGCAAAGAGGGCGAGATAGAACGTCGACTACGAAGCCGTTGCGCAGGTCTTTTAGAGCTCCGCTTACGAGCCAAATCCCAGGAAGAACAAACGAGTCAGATCCGCCAACGTGTTCAGAAGGACGTAGTCTATCTTCACAGAACTGTTGCCGAATTTCTTCACGAACCAAAAACTTGGAATGAGCTGGTAAGCCATGCAGACAGGTTGGGATTTCATGCTCCTGCAGCTGTGCTACAATCATTGGTGGCAGAAGTCAAGTTTTTCAACCTGGGACTGCAACCACAGGCCAATTGTGAAGTTCCTTGGGAGCTTATAATAGACGCGATGATTTTTGCGCGGCTTACGGAGGCACAAACTCAGACCAGCGCCCGAAGACTTCTCGACGAACTTGATAGAGCAATGACGACTTACGTACCGACAGCTACAGGAAGATGGAAGGGAGGCAATTACGATGGAGCAACTTGGTGCGATACCTTCGAAGAGGATTACAACAGAGCTGCGCCTTGGCATGACAACTTCATGTCTTTGAATGTGAGGTTTGGCATGACATTATACGTTCGAGACACGATTCTCGCAAAAGGCTCGCGTTGCTTGATCAAACCTGGTAGACCGCTACTCGATTACGCCTGCAGACCTGAGCCAAGACGTGGAGAATGGTCAGCCTTCAGCGACCCTGACCTCGTTCAGACCTTATTGCTAAATGGTGCTAAGCCGAATGATGAGTTCAACGGGTTCAGTGCCTGGCAAAACTGTCTGTATACACAGAACGAAGACACTTTCAAGTGGCTATCAATATTGAAACTCCTAGTTCTGCATGGGGCAGATGTTAATGCTTCCATTGAGAAGAGGCATTACCAACGGCGAAGTTATGTGGTTGGTATCGAAAAGACCACTGCATTAGCTGTAGTCCAGAGATTCTCCAAAAGCCTTGGAGCAGAGGATTCTGCCGAGAGAAGGGAGGGGCTCCGCGAGTATGGACCATCATGGCCCATGACCAGACAATCTGCAACGGAAACCAAATCGAACGTTAAGGAATTGAAGGCATTGCTCATCAAGAGAGGCGCGAAGGACGTGTGCAAAGGGAGCAAGGAAGTGTACAAAGGGAGCAAGAAAGTGTACGAAGGGAGCAATTCAAGGCTCTATGGTGAACGAGTGACGCGATTTATGAAAAGTTTGCTTCGAAGGGACCGCGGGTGATGGCTTGGGCTGATTACAGCCCGATGATGCAAGTTGGTCAAGGCCTATCAAGCCAATGAAGAGGTTGCCTGTTATATTTGAACTGAAGGTCGACTGATGTAAACAGCTGAGTTGTTCATGGAAGTTCTGAAGGCGGAGCAATTCTTGTTGTATACACTATCAGCCCAAAGTGAGCCCAGACTATCAGTCTTTTCAAAGCCACCCCGCCCTCAGCAGCTTATTTCCGAACTCCAAAAGATAGTAATCTGCATAAACTAACCCATGATCAGCGTATTTCTTGTGCGCATGCTCATTCCAGTTCGTTGTGCTGTTCCTCAGTATACACTCGAAACCTGTTTCTTTGATTTTCAGCTCCGATGCTGTCGCGCCACCGTTAACGCCATTCCCATTCACCATAGCCTTGACCGGTGCTTCAAAGGACGCTAAATCGGAGTCGTACGACATGTCTAGGGTCTGCGAAACGATCTGGAGTGCGATATCGAAGAAGTTTGTGTCACTGTTGGCGGACAGTTGAGATGCAGCAGTAGATGAGAGGGATTGTAGTGCTTGGTGAATGATGAGGAGGCCATTGGCTGTTATGACGCCTGCGGATGCGTCGCGTAACGGCTCCATTGGGTTATCTTGTGGCGCATCGAAATCCCAGCATGGGACCATGGGGTGGTGCCACTTGCCTTCGCCTTCTTTTAACCTCCCCAGAAAGTATTGTGCGGATTTGATCGCTGTTTCGAGATACTTCACGTCTTTCGTCCATGAGTACGTCTGCGCGAATCCCATGATCGCCCAGGCCTGGCCTCGACTCCATGTCGAATCGTCTTTCCAGCCTTGATTCGTCATCTTGGCTTGTGGTTGGCCGTTACGTGGATCGAAGTTTACGAGGTGGTATGAAGAGAAGTCTGGGCGGAGAATCTCGTGTATGATCGAGTCGGCGTGCTGGGTTGCAATGTCGATTAGCGACTGGTCATTCTTGATGTGGCCAACGAAGTACAGGAGGTCGAGATCTATGACATGTGAGTGAGCGACATAAGATATGGGAACGGGCCGGGTTGGTGCCTTACTGCACATGCTATCTATAATGACGAGGAAGTTTGTTGACATGTCTGTGATTGAGTAACGATCATTGATCGCAACATCCCAACTTCTGATCGCCTTCACGCGATCATCGTATCGCGACGCAAGCGCATACGCCGCGTTGACAACAGACTGCAAACTCTCCTTGTTGCCAGTCAACTCCCAGTCTTTCTGCAATGCGGGTTGGACAATGAAGCCCATATCGTGGGTGTCTGTCCGACTCGACATCTGATTGATAGCAACGCCATAGTGCCGTCCTAGCTTCAACAGCTGGTCTTGCATTTGTGATCGGATATGTTCCGGAACATTAATGGCTTGTGGGTATCGTATCGAGCGTTCGAGAAGCGCGTATATGCAACCTGGAAAGAATCCGCATGTCCAGAAGTCTGCTTCTCGCTCTTCGTATCGTCCTGCGTCCGGGCCTACTTGAGGTACGGTGTGGGGATATGATTGTAAGGGTGCCTGAGTTTGTGAGATATAGCACTTGATACAGGTGCACCTTTTAAAGTGGAGGGATTGTATCGCACCTCTTGTTTCAAACCTCGTTGTGCAACTTGCACGACCTTCGCCAACACACTCTCTGAGTATATTTGGCTGAGGTCGACATCTTTGACTCTAGGTACACTTAGTATCAGCCTATAGCGTTCACTTGAGCCATCGCTTACGTTGCGAGCCTTGAGGGCATCATGATATCCTTTACAGCGCCTACCATTTTATGTTCGCGATTAGAAGTCTTGATGACGTATGCTGTATACAAGATTGTGTTTGTGTACAATGACGCGCGGCGGTCAGTGAAGAGGCGGCTCTACAAAGTGTTCGATTGCGGTTGAGCAGAGGAAGGAGCTTGGAAGCAAAGCGAAGAACAGCCAAGATGGTGCTTCTTGCGAAAAAGCCTACATCGGGCGACGCGTGAGCTGTCGCGCGTACTGGTGTGAGGCTGCTATCGATACCGGGTTATCTTGCGACGAAGGTTCAAATGTCGGGGTGTAGGCTAAATGTGGGATCTGCATTGTACCGATGCCCGCTACCCGGCCGTTTGCACAAGCTCAGGGCGACGCCCGCTACAACCACGTCATTCTTTTCTTGACTCTCGTGTCTTGCTTTCGCTCGTGACTGCACACTCTCGGACGTGTGGACGGCCTTCCAAAAGAGGTATCTTTTCCTGCCACCGTCGTGTTTGTCAAGCCTTGGGAGCGTCGTAAAGTCTAGTGTGGGCTGGGCTTCCCACTAATTCCCCCACGCCGTAGTATCTTCGAAGTCTGGGGTAATAGTAGAATTGCTAAGAGACAGATGCGGAACTACTATGGCCGTTAATATCGAAGCGCGCTAGAATGTAGACCATCAGTCTTAGACCAGTCGGCATAAAGGCACTGGCATCCAAAGCACAGAACAAATTCAGCAATACTTCACTCTACACACCTCCAAGATGCGGTTCGCAAACGCAACTTCAGGTCTCCTGCTGGTATCCCTTGCTGCTGCTGCGCCGTCGTCGGCGTTGAAGCGTGCAGCTTCAACCCTCCCATTGTCAACCAAAGGGCGAGACATCATTGATTCGAACGGCGATGTCTTCCATTTCATGTCAACGAATTGGCCTGGTCATCAAGAAATCATGATCCCTGAAGGTCTCCAACACTCTTCACTAGAGGATATTGTTTCCTGGTTCCCCAAGCTTGGCCTCAACTCAGTCCGCATGCCGTTCGCCATCGAGATGGTGGATGACTATCTCGAGAATAGCCCAGATCAAACTCTCGAGAAAAGCGTACTGAACGCAATTCCAGGAACTAATGGAACGGATGTATTGAACTCGATTTTAGAGAAAAATCCGCAGTTCACCAAGAACACAACCCGCCTGCAAGTGTGGAATGCCGTTGGCAAGGAATTATCGCGCCAAGGCGTGATCATCCACTTGGACAACCACGTATCCAAGGCATTCTGGTGTTGCGGCGACGACGACGGTAACGGTTGGTTCGGCGAGAAGGATTTCGACGTGGAGAAGTGGAAGCGAGGCTTAGCCTTCATGGCTAAGTTTGTAAGCAATGGAGAACCCCTCGATCAATGCGCAGATGCTGACGAACCTAGGGAAAAGAAAACTGGTCGGCTTTCGCCTCGATGGGATTACGCAATGAACTGCGAGCTGCCAAGGTGGCTGAGCCTGTCGATTGGTATACGTGGTACATCCACATGACTGCTGCCGCCGATGCCGTTCATGAAGCGGATCCCGATGCTCTGATCTTCTTCTCTGGTCTCTCGTATGATACGTACATTGACCCGATCCCTCTGGGTAAGACACTCAACGGTACCGCCGGTACGTCGACTGCCAACAAGACCGCCAAGTTCGTCCCGGACAGCTTTGCCTGGAAGGACAAAATCGTTCTGGAGATCCACAAATATGACTTCGAAGCCACCCAAGACGATTGCGCAACCTTCAAGAGGAAGTGGTATCAAAAGGGTTTCCAAGCAGTCAACCCCGACGACCCAGTGACCAAATACACCTTCCCGATGGTCATATCAGAATGGGGTTTCATCCATAATGGAACTTACTGGAACCAGACCACCTACGCGAAATGCTTGGTGGAGATGGTGAAGGAATACCAGGTTAGTTGGCAACATTGGGAACTGTCGGGTAGCTTCTATCTCCAGACGCGTCCGAACAGAACGCCCAATACGCTCATTGGAGCTGATGAGGCTTGGGGTCTGTTGAACTATGATTGGACTGCCATTCGATCGCCCATTACCTTGGAGAACAGCTTGTACAAGATGATTGAAGCGCTGAAGTGATGGACGACCATAGCATGTAGCATATAGCGAAAGGTTTGTGAAAGCAATAGGATGACACCAAAGCTCCCACAATTTGTTGCGTGTATGTTGTATTGGATGACGTTCTTCGCGTAACGATAGGTGCGATCTGACGATTGTACATTCGTTATTCACAGCGTTTTGCGGTGCCAACGGGTTGCTGTAAGATGGATCGTCTCTCTACACCTGTGCAATGTTCCTCCGTCGACTCAAGGTGGAGAAGGGGCAGTATTATCATGAAATGACACGTGCCAGAAGTTGTATGAGACGGTGTTCGCGTATGTGACGCGTGAAGGCACGCCATCCTGTGAGGTCAGTGCGCTCGTTCATGACGTCACACTTCTGTCTCTCAGCACGCATGCATCTGCACATATCGCCTGGAGAAACTTGGAGATATGATATCAACAAACACGATACATGTTGGGAGTTTCTCCGAGGATTACTATTCAATTTTTTAGGCGAACAATGGGCCGAAACTGCGTGTCTGTGGCTGCAAGAGACACGCCTTGGCACGACTCATGGACCATCATGCATGTTCCCAGGACCAAGATTTGAGCTTCATTTCATCACCCCACAATCTCCCCATGCTCTTGGCTATCTCTCTACCGCCAGATACATCTCGGCCAACGGAACATTTCCCCCTTCAGCACTCGTTCGTGGAGTTTGCCCCAGAAATGCCCGCCCCCGCACTCGACCATCCATATCCAGCAATAACCCGATGCCCGTGAAGGATCCGTCCAGTCGCTTACCAGCCTTGATATTGAGCCATGCGAGAGCTACATATTCACCTGTTCTTCGGGTTCCGACGACCATTAGTGTTATAAGCACGAGGATCCCAACTCTGCTGTACGCATCCGAGGTCGTGCCGTCAATACTTTGATCTGACGAGCGCAAGTCAACATGGCCAGCACGCAGCCCAACGACGAGACTGCTGGCGTCGCCAACAGGACTGGCGAGTTCGATACGAACGTTATCGCGCCCGCTGAAGCTCCAAAGAGGTCGCCATGGAAAGCGTGGATGTACCTCTGGGAATGGTATCCTAAGCACTATCCCGAGGAAGAGAGGAAGCTACTGAGAAAGATGGATGCTTGTCTTTTGACATTCTGTTCATTCATGTGTAAGGCGCTCTGCTGATAGCGATACATGTATAATGTTAACGCCGCTAGTCTTCCTCAAATGGCTCGACTCCTCCAACATCAAGAACGCCTACGTATCGGGCATGAAAGAAGAGCTCAGCCTCTACGGAAACGAGTACTCGCTCTTCGATACCTTCTATAATGTCGGATACCTCGTCTTCCAAGTTCCGTCCCTACTCTTGCTATCCCGACCGAAGATTGCCAAGTACTATTTGCCGACCATGGAAGTGCTTTGGTCAATTGTGACCTTCTGCCAGAGTCAGATGCGCAGCCGAAACGACATCTATGGTACCCGGTTTTTGCTCGGTCTGCTCGAGACACCAGTGGCATCTGGCACGACCTATGTGCTTGGCTCCTGGTACAGGCCTGAAGAGGTCTTCAAACGGACAGGAGTCTGGTATGTATCTAACAACATCGCTGTGATGTTTGGTGGTTACCTACAAGCTGCGGCGTACAACAATCTTAACGGGTGAATGATCCTTTTTCATCAGGCATTTAGCAGTCGCTAATACACTTCAGCGTTGGTGGTATGTCCGGTTGGCGTTGGCTGTTCATAATCGATGGAGTAATTTCTCTACCCATTGCACTTGCAGGCTACCTCATCTTCCCCGGTCTACCAAGTAGCGCAAAACCATGGTGGCTTACACCCAAAGAGCATGCACTAGCTCGATCGCGCATGGCCAATGCCGGTGTTGCGCCTAGCAAAGAGCTTAGCTGGACCGTTGCAAAGCGCACATTCATGCGATGGGAGTTTTACATGGGTGTATTGTGCTATACCTTGTAAGCCTTAACGCATCTTACCTGCTACGATGAACTAACATGTGTATAGCTTCCTTTCGTCTTCCTACCCTCACGGTCAAATGGCTATCTGGCTTAAAGATCTTGCTGCCAAGTATCCAGGTGCATACACTGTTCCACAGATCAACACTATCCCCACTGGCGCCCAGGGTGTCTCCGTCTTCGCGGCGCTCCTCGCCACATCTCTCTGCATGGTCTACCCGCTTTGGTCCATCTTTTCTATCGTCCAAACGATCTACATCGTCGCCAACATTTCCCTCCTAATCTGGAACATACCTAAAGGCTACCATTTTGCCTGCTACTACCTACTGGGTGTCTCCGCCGCCGTCACGCCCATTCTCATGCCGTTCATCAACATGGCGCTGCGCGACGACGCTGAGGCGCGTGCTGTCACTGTCGGTGCTATGTTGACAGCTGGCTGGGCTGTCTTCTCTTTCTACCCTATCACAGTATTCCCCATCGTCGAGGGCCCAAAGTGGACCAAAGGTTACGCGGTAAACATTTGCTTCATCGTTGGATGTTGGGCTACTTTCTTGATCATGCAATATTTGTATAAGAAGAGCGAGAACAAGAAGCGAAGTATGATGGTTCGGGAAGTAGCGAAAGATCAGGAAGACTTGGCGGGTCTGGATATCAAGGAGGCATCGGAAGTCGAGCATGCAGAGGTCAGGAAGTGATGCGCAGTAGCGATTACGATGTGAACGTGGAGTTTTGACAGCAAAGTACAATACCCATGATGCAATCTATTAACCCGTCACTATGGTACGTACCCAACGATACGTAGTGAGCTTTTTGACTTTGCACAAACTTGCATCGCGCAGCTGCCGAAACCAACCGCGCGATCCGGCACTACAGTATCCGTGCACTCAATGCCCGCCGTCGGTCAATGCCCGCCACCCCACCACAACAACAAACCTTCAACGCGTCACAACTCCACCAATATGAATCCGATTCAAGAAGCGATTGAAGAAATCGAATCGCGCGAGCCAGGAGATCATTTTACGTATACAGAAGTTGCGCGACGATACAATATTGATCGACGTACGCTCGCTCGAAGACACCAAGGCGTAACTGGCCCGCGCGGGCTTCCCCATCGATCCCTACACCCAGAAACCGAAATCGAACTCAGAAACTACTGCAAGACGCTTACTGAACGATGTTTGCCACCGTCAAGGCTCATGATACAACGCTTTGCTTCTGGTTTGGCTGGAAAAGACGTTTCAGAAAGCTGGGTTACCCGGTTCCTCCACCGACACGACGATCATCTGATCTCTCGCTGGAACAACGGTTTGTCAAAACAACGAGTAAAAGCGGATTCAGCTGCCAAGTACAACTTATACTTCAAGCTTTTGCATCAAAAGATAGAGGAGTACAACGTCTCGCCAACCCATATATTCAATATGGATGAAAAGGGGTTTCAACTTGGACGAGTTGGGAGAATAAAGCGTATCTTCTCCAAAGCTCTCTACAAGCAAAAGGGGGTACGCCAAGCGCTTGAGGATGGCTCAAGCCAGTGGATAACCGTTGTGGCTTGTATTTGTGCTGACGGCAAACCTCTGAGTCCTACACTCATCTTCCAGGGAGCCAACGGAGCTATTCAATCAAGCTGGGTTGAAGCTATATCGGAAGGGGAGCACTCAGTCTTTGTAACCTCATCTCCCTCCGGCTGGACCAACAACGATATTGGGTTAGCTTGGCTCAAGGAGGTGTTTGAACGAGAGACCAGACGATACGCTTCAACTGGGTATCGATTACTACTCCTTGACGGCCATGGATCCCATGTAACCATGGAGTTTATTGAGTATTGCCACGAGCACAAGATCCTGTTGGCTGTACTGCCTCCTCACGCTACTCATACTCTTCAACCGCTTGACGTTTGTATGTTCAAACCCCTGGCGGACGCTTACTCAACTCAGCTGCAAGGATTTCTCCAGGACAGCCAGGGGTTGCTCAATTTGACTAAAGGAGACTTCTTCCCGCTCTTCTGGAGCTCCTGGACCTCTGTATTTAAACCTCAACTCATCCAGAGGTCGTTTGAAGCCACCGGAGTATACCCACCCAACCCGGACGTTATACTCCAGAAGTTTGCCAAGGAAGCTTCAGATTCTGAGAGCAGCAACTCAGTACTATCGGGGAGCGATTGGCTCAAGCTCAAGTCAATCGTACGCCGTGAGGTGAAGGATCAGGGCAGTAAGGACGTCAAGAAGCTTCAACGAAGCTTGTGCCACATCTCAGCTCAAAATCAGATCCTTCACGACGAGGTACAAGGCCTCAGGAGGGCTCTATCCATCAAAGAGAGCCGTCCCAAGACGTCGTACACTCTCCAGCTTGATGAGGATAACGAGTATAACGGGGGAGCTATTGTATGGTCACCTAAAAGGATGCAACAAGCTCGGGATCGTCGGGCAGCACAACAACAACAAGCCGAGCTTGAAAAGCTTCAAAAAGCCAAGCAAGCCGAGATCAACAAGGCAGCACGCGATTGTGAAGCTCAACTCAAAGCCGTGAAGCGTGTAGAGCGTGAGAAACGTCGGGAGGAGAAGCTGGTGGAGGACGCTGCAAAACAGGCTAAGAAACAACACCAGCAGCTCATTAACAACACCAAAAAGCTTATAAAACTTTCCCAAAAGGGTAAGCGCAAGGCTTCACAATCCCATACGCCAGCTGCAAAGCGTCAAAAGCGTGTTGGGGGTGGTACAGCGTCTGGGGAAGCCCGGGTAGTCGCACAGCCAGTTCCACCCAAAACCACCAGAACGCGTACAATCCGCCGCCCAAAAAAAGATTTGGACTAGCGCGAAGTCTTCGCAGGCTATTATATAGTATAAACCCACTTTTGCGCAATATTATTACGATTTGTTGAGGCGTTACAGCTGCAATACTCATGAAGCTGTTGTGTTGTTGCCCGGGCATTGACCGACGGCGGGCATTGAGTGCACGGATACTGTAAGGTGTAGCGTGTAGATCCCCCGCATTCCACATCCGCCGCTCGAGGTGCCGTTTAAGAAGGCCTTCAAAAGCACAGTTAGCGCTATTACTCTCCTGCAGGATACGCTCATAGCCCTGCCGTGTGGATATGCAGAACCAAAAAGCATCTTGTGTCTGCATCTTTTGCTCACGTGAATTTACCAGAAGGTGCGCTCCTCCGTCATGAGCCGACCGCTTACTAACCATGAACGCAGCGATGCATTGAAACGTCACTGGAACTCGTGCAGTATTCGACGGGCTCGGAATTCTCCCATTCCGACGGTTAAGGCCAGAGCGCGGGGACGCAAAACGCGGGCCTGCGACCTATGCTGTCAATTGAAGAAAGCTTGTAATCTTTCCCAACCATGCACATTATGTGCTTCGCGAAATCAAGTCTGCGAGTATAGCCGACCGCAAAAGATCAGCCGTGATCACAAAGCAGAGCTTAATTGCGACATTAATGACCTGGATGCTTACAGCACGGAGACCAACGATACGGTGGAATGCCGTATGGATGGAGACCTAGTCATACCTTGCCGGGATGTTGATACTGGATTCGACATGCGCGTATATGAATCGGTATTTCAGACTTTAGATGACACCGTCGATCACCCGGAGACCACCATTGCCAATCCTGACCATGACATAGAACTAACGCTGCCGTCTTCTCCGCGCAACCCAGATTGTCGGATGCAACTCAGCTCCTGGAATAACCCCGGTTCACTGTTCATCGAGCAAAACATCATTGCCCCGTTTTGCCAGCGTCCAACACAACTTAATATCAACACGTTGATCGACTTTCCCTTTCTTGACAACTTCACTAAGGCGACTGGCTTTGTCAGCTCATTCGGCTGTGGCACCAAGCAGCAAAGACTCTCCATCACACTGGACCCAATCAGGGCGAACCCGAGCGAGAACGCCACGCCTAGGGAAGAAAGAATGCTAAACACGGCTACGCACTGGGTTGAGATCGCCCGAAACATGCTGGTTCAAGGGAGTAAGGACACAGCTGATCCAGGTGTGTCACTGTACGTGACGCATAGGATTGTTGATCAAATTCGAGAGACAGCAATAAAAACACATCACCGCGGTTCAGCTGGCATCCATTGGTCACCTTCCACAGAAGCCCTTTGTTACGATTTCTTCAATCCGAAGAACCTAAACAAGTGTTTAGCGCTCTTTTGGTCTTGCTGGTATCCGAATTGGCCCACGATACATGCACCAACTTTCAAGGTGGTAGAGAAGTCGCCGTCACTCATTGCTGTAATGGCTCTTGTTGGTGCTTGCTTGTCGGCGGAAGATCGCGATCATGCCTCAGCTCAACTTTGGTTTGATTTGGTCGAAGACCTCGTCTACAGTGATGCCGCTTTTGACGATCAGGACATTTCGAACACGTGGAAGGAACCGACAGATACCGATCGTCGAAGCGCACACTTGCAGACCCTCCAAGCAGCTTACTGTGTTTGCCTGTATCAGACTTGGGAGGGAAGTAAGCGGAGTAAAAAACGTGTTTTGCGGCAAAGGTTTAATGATCTTGTTTATGTGAGTGACCGCTATCACTAAAAGATTTATACTGATGGTCATAAAGCTAGCACGGGATATAGGACTAGATCAAGCTTCACTCAGGTCGATCGATACGTCTGACCCAGCTGGTTTTGACTGGGAGGAATACGCTCTTCGAGAGTCGCTCATCCGGTATTGGTCGACCTCGCACTCAAGTTCCAACGCTGACTTGATCCGATAGCATCTGTTCGTATATCTGCAACATCGATGCCAGTTACGCCCTATTTTTCCGCCATGTACCTCGTACCACTTTATCCGAACTGGTCATGGAGATGTCGTCCCCAGAATCTTGCTTTCAAGCTTCGTCAAAAGAAGAGTGCTTCATTGAACTCAAGGCCTGGCGTGAAAGGATGGGCAGTGACGCGACTAAGATGAACGTCTTGAGTGCTGTCATTGCACTTTGTGATAACGCGATCATGACAACGCCAGCGATGCGTCGCACTTTTGCTCAACTTAGTGTCCTCAACATGTTCACCATCGTCCACGCACTATATCTGCAGGTTTATAGCCTGGAAAACTCCGCAATGACTGCGCCAGATACAACAGGAATGACCTCAGTCGAGAACGCATTGCGGAATTGGCAGCAATCATGGCCATCGAATACGCGAGATATGGAGTTAGTTGATCTATTGGGAAAGGAAAGTGATTTGTCGACGATGTGGCAGCGTATTGGCTTCATGAGATATGCACCTGAGTACTGGCTGATAGCATATTCGACAGTAAAGAGGATGTACAAGCTGAACGATGGCATTCCTCGGATTTCGGAAACTGTCATCACTGTTGGGAATCACGACATGATCGAGGCACGAAGGCTGATCGCTGAGCTGAGAAGTGGAGCCATTGTTCCCGTTGTGGACAGCTAGAACATTCAGCTAACTTTCCAATTGCTTGCTATTTGCCCAAATCCCCGCTGTTAAAAGTGACGGCAGCCTTTAAACCAGGTATCTCTCTGGAGAAGACAGGTGGCCCACCAAACAGCCGCTCGAGATACAGTAAAGAAGGCCGTTCGTCGTCGCGCCGGTCTCGAATACCCTAAATATTCCCGGTATTGCCTCTAATTCATAGTCTTTTCAAGACTTTTCACATCCTTTTTGACGTCCTTGCGCCTCATCGACAAACATAACTATGAATATCTCTAGCACAACTACCCAATCCTTCTGTTATTCCCCTGAGCCTACCAGCCCGAACTTGAGATCCTGCGCCCATCTCGGCCAGAATCGAAGCAGCGAATCTCGCTGATGATGCTTTGGGATACAGATCATGCCGCTTTTGCCGTTCAAAACCTGGTCTACCACCGCATCTATCACCGGCTCCGGCGGGTCTTCTATGATACCCAACTTCGCTAGCATGCCGTCCTTGTCTATCCCGGTCTTGTGCCATCCCGGGTGGATAGAGGTGTTACAGATAAATGAACCACCAGGATAGCGTGTGAGACATTCAGCCCGAAGACCCTCAGTAAGGTACAAGGCACCGATCTTCGAGATACAGTAGTTGACCATATTAGGGGGGACGACAAAAGATGCCATGGAGGCTATGGAAACGACATGGCCTTTCTCCTGTGCGAGCATAGCTGGAAGGAAAGCGCGTATGAGAACCATCTGTGATAAGAGGTTAACTCGAAACAGCCTCTCATCCTCAGCGTTGGTTGTCTGCTTGGCGTCAGGCTTTCTGATACATACATCGAGATTCATCGAACTCTATCTTACCTCGAGCACTGTTTTGCCAATTCCATATCCAGCATTGTTTATCAGCACGCTGATCGTTCCGAAGTCCTTCTTGACTTGTTCGCACACGGTTTCAAGTGCCGATATGTCGCCGACGTCGCACTGATAGAAGTGAACATCCGGCAGCGCCTCCAGATCTGCGGGTAGCGGCGACCTGTTTAACGCGATGATCCGCGCATGTTTGGACAATTCCATAGCCATCAGGTAACCAAAGCCGCTGCTTGCACCTGTGATAAGTATCACCTCTTTCTTCTCTGGCCCGAATTGCCAGTCAGCGCCTGATCTTTTTAATCTCCAGTTGTTCCATGCTAGACGGTTCAAAGCCTCGTTGATACGACGCAGGACACCCGCTGTAGTGAGTACTTTGAGAGCTGTGACTACTGCCGCAAGCCTAGCGATGCTCTCAGGATCATTGGCAAAGAGAGACGAAGTGATTCCGAAAGGTGCGAGGAGCTGCGCGCGAAGCTGCGTACTACCGCGAGTCAACAGGCACAGAAGTCCACCAGTGACGAGAGGCTCACTGGCAGCTTGAGTTAGACCAGAGAGTATCGTTGAAAATATCGTGGGAGGCTTGTTGACTCTAATTGATTGGGCAAGCGACATGGTTGCGTAGGATACAGGTGGTAAGACTCCCTATCGTTTTTGGAGTCGGAATAGATCAAAAGTTGAATTGGAGAATACTCAACCGTCCAGCTGACTTCTAAGCTTTATAGAATGAATTCCATGCGCCGAAAGTCCCGGATTCTGAAGTAGCCACGCTTTGACTGTGTGTTTTTGATGCATAGGTCTCCACTAACATGTGGTATGAATACTAATCCTCAGTCTTGTGAGACACCTTATATTCCGTTCCACACTTTCCTCCTGCTTGTAGGATAGCGTCAAGACGCGGGTGCCAATCGGATTCTTGTGGTTGCAATGTGGGTGCTACCTTTGTTGCACTCTTATCCGCCTGCGTTTCAAACGACAGGGCTGATTCTGTCTGTGCCATCGCGCACACGTCCCAAATGGATCTTGTCCTTAGTTGTGGTACTGAACCCACGGCGTTTACTTCAACCTAGACGAGCTCCAGCGAAACAAAACCAAAGCTATTCAACAAGCCCACTCCCCAGAGCACGCGCCAATGACCGTTACCATATAAATGGGGTCTCTAGCAGTCGTAAAGGCACATTCTATATTCTCTTGGTGCGCCATTGTTGCTCGTTCGTTCACGACGCGCGGACCGGCTGAGGATTTGCATATTTGTGGGGGCATCGGCCATAATCTTGCGAGCATGATAGCAAACCACCCAGCCCGTATAGATGATGCTTCCGTCGCCTAACCTTCACGACTGTGCGCTAGCGTCCGAAGCTCAAAGTTGGTCTCCGTCTCGCTTGTACGTCAACGGTTGACGGATAACAGGATCATCGGCATCTAGATTTTGATAGTATGCACCCAAGTCGCGGTGATGCTTGGCTGCGAGCATTTTGTCGCACAACTTACTGCTTGACGTGTTAGTTTTAAGTCTCTGTTCTCATGGTCCCCATAGTCGTCGCCCTCGCGCTGCTTGCTTCCAAGTGCTGTCGCTAAGTTAACAATGTATGTCGGTATTCCTGGTGCTGCATGCCGCTAGGCATTTCAAAAGGGCCGGCAGAGGTACAAACGTGCCCGTCAGGTATGGCAAGACATCGGGGCGTTTTCGGACGTGATATGTGGAGATGAATGTATGTACAAGTCTACCGAGCTAGCTAAGGTGGGATGAGCCCACTATATACCCGCCATGTACCATGCTTGGCAGTCATGCGACGACGGAGCTTCGGAGGCCGCTTGGCCGAAAGACGGCCTACAAGCAACTCGATAAACACCGGTTTCCCCAATCCACATCGAACTAATTGATGCCCACGTTCTCGCAATCATATTTACAACGCCGCTAGAACAAAACATAGCTTTAGCTACGAGAAAGCTGCTGCCTGGTGGCTGTGGTCTGGGTGTCACAAGTGCCCCGCCCTTCACCCTGCATAGTCGATAGAAGCACGACAACTGAGCTACTGCCAGACATCCCCCACATACGTTATACAGAATCGACATGACATCTGAACATGGCGACATACCTCGATATCTCCGTTACGAAGATGGAGGTGGAGATTTGGACAATGGTTGGGACTATGAGCTCGAAAGAGCTAACCAGATACTGCACAATCAGATCATCAGAATGCATCGAGATAAGCTTTGCAAAGGCTGTGCTCGCTTTGACTGGTTGAGAACACACTTCTACACACGCGATGTCCGTTGTATGGATGAGGAAGACAAAAGGGCGGGCCAAAAGATCGACAACGGATATCAGCGATTATCCGAATTTGATTTTCGTCACCGCGATTTTGAAAACGTCTATGATGACGTGATCTGGCCTCTATTTGAAGTTGTAGCAGGGGCACGCCGAGAGACAAAGTGGTCAGCGAAGAATTTTAGGTTCCGCTGGCGACTTCGAAAGGACCAAATCCACCAATGTCAGCTCTGTAACATATTGTGCGATAAGGCAGAAGCAGCATGGGACGTTTCAACGTTTGACTACCCTAACAACTCGGCATACAATAGCGATACGGCATTTCTCGACATTCTGCTCAAGGGCGGTCCAGTGTTCGAAGACGGTGTGAAACATCAATGTATTTTCGTAAGTTCATGGTAATCGCATGTCTTGTGCTACCATCACTGATGAATGGAATGACAGGCTTGGCCAGAGCATAAGAATGATGCAAGGTGTGCAACTAACGGTATCAAGGTTTACCTATATCTGTACGAACGTCCATATCGAGGGATCACAACTTCATGTTGCATCCGCCCTTTCATCGAAGAGATGCTCCACCAACTCAACAATCTACCACATTGCTGCTTAAATAAGAGCCGAGTAGGCACAAATGTCAATTTCGATCTTGTGATAGGATGGCTAAAGTTGTGTAATGAAACGCATGAACATATCATAAGCCCCATCCACTCCATATCAGCGCACAAAGACCTTCGGTTCATCGATACCAAACGTCGATGTGTCATAGAGCAAGACCAGCGCGTACGCTATGCAGCACTCAGCTATACTTGGGGCCAGGAAGAACAATACTGTCTGAAACGAGAGAATGTAGAAATCCTGAAAGAACCCGGCTCACTGGATCGTAACAATATAACTATCAGACAAGTAATTATTGATGCGATCGAGGTGTGTGTGAAGGCAGACATCCCATATCTGTGGGTAGATGCACTCTGCATCGTCCAGGACGATGAACAGGGCAAGATGTTTCAGATCCAGAATATGGACTCTGTCTACTCCAACGCCTACATAACCATCGTTCAGGCAGCATAGAAACAAACGAAACTCGACCAAAGCCCACTGGATAAAAATCTAAGTCTGGGTCTGTCTGGTGTATCCAACTCGTTCACTCCAATCGACCCAAGCTTTACTGTAGATGGGGTGTCGTACTTGGTCGATGACAATGACATGCAACGAACGTTGAATGAAAGCTTCTCAAGCACCAAGTGGTCTTCTCGTGGCTGGTCAGTAAAACTTCGACGCTCCAACTTATACGAGGTGCTCACGTTTCTCTTCTAGGACCTTTCAAGAGTTCGTGCTTTCGCATCGAGTCCTCCTGTTCCTTTCCGAAGACGTAGTCTTCTACTGTTCAAACGGTGTGGCGTGCGAGAGTAAATCCTTTGGCGACGACTTATATAGAACGTTTTCACCGATGGAGCAACCCGATCTACATCAAGAGTCCAGTATTCAAAATTGCGGCTTCCTGCATAAACTGCCGAGGAATGATGCAACATTGATCGAGATTATAGAGCAGTATGAAGGGAATTATATTCAGCTACTCAGCTTCTATATCGGGAGAAATTTGACGTACGATACTGATGTACTCAATGCGTTCTCTGGGATCATCAACGCTCAATCTGTTCTACTGGGCGACTTTGAATCGGGAATGCCACTGCGTTTGTTTGCAAGAGCGTTATTCTTGTCGGTAACGCCCCAGTCCGGCCCACTAAGCCGGCGGAACGGATTTCCTTCTTGGTCTTGGATCGGCTGGAAACTCGAAGTCGGCTCTCCAAGGACTGTATTAAATGACGGCGGTTACAGACATTTCCGGCATCGTGGCTACTGGCCGCTTGTGTAGATATATTCGCGCACTGAATCTGGAAATCTTGTCCTTCTTCTAGGCCCACTCGATCCCCACAATCGCATCGAGGGATATTGTAGCCGCTCTATCGAGCTTTACAACGAGCTTACATCTGCGCCGTCTCTTCCCACCGAGCCTTGTGTTGAAGAAGTGCCGCTCTTCCACGTCCCACGTGACGAGAGCCTACAAACATTGCTTGTATTCTGGACTCATGTGGCGCCCCTGAAATTGGCCTTCCCAACTGAACACCGTGCTATTCCTGAGGTACATATCGATTGTCCTATGGTCAGAGCAAAGTTTAAGGAAGAAGCGAGCCTGGAACTCGAAGTAGCTCTGATCGCAATCACCCGTGGAGTTCCTTACGTTGAATATCTTGAAGGTGAGTATTAGCGGCAGCCCTGGCGATTTGGAGAAAGGGAACGCGAATTTAGTGGCATCATCATCGAGCGTTGGCAAGGCCTCGCACGACGCGTGGGTGTTGTGCATAGTGTTGATATGAAGCAGTGGGTAGCTGCAAATCCTCAGAAGGAACTTCTAGTACTCGCATAGAGAGTCTGTCACTTGTTTGACTGTTCTTGCTACTGCGTCAGCAAGGTAACAGGGAAAAGCAAGGGATATGGCGAAAACCTGACGTTGATCCTATCGCGTAGCGGAGAATACATCCCCACTGCTTCCACTAGATTGCCAGACTATCATCATGGGAAAATTTGCATTCCCCATCTAAGATAATGCAGCATAAACCGGAAATTCGATGTTTGCTCAGGATGATGTACTTCTGTCGTGTTGGCGGCACCCTCCGCAGCCAATCAGCCCAGCCGCAACACCCAATCAGACCTACCAATGCCCAGCCCTGTGGCTCCACTGCCCCGCGTTCCGGATGCCGGATGCAAGCTAGCAACATGGCAAGACCCACTCAGCTCGCGCAGCCAGCCGTGCCTGCATGTGCGTGCCAACATCGTGAGATGCTGCTTCTTGTCTTGCGTGGCGAGTCAAGTAAGCTAATCGTTGCCAAATCTCGTGCCGTGTCTGTCGTCACGCGCTTGCTGCCAGGATTTGGCCCTGATCAGCTGCAGCGGTTTCGTATAGCTTCTCAACGAATTGAGAAGCGGGATGGCCGCGGAAGTCACGATGCTATGGAAGGAAGCCAAGGTGAAGGAAGGGGGAGGTACGCGTATGAGCTGCAATTACATCATGCCTGCTGTGCAACGTATACATGTCAGCTTGTGAACGCCCCGACTCTTGCTGCGAGACACTGATTCCATTCTCTCTTTCTCTCTGTCTTCATTTCATCTTCTCAACGATTTGCATCATCAGACAAGAAAGCGACAACGATAATGGCATCTCTTAGCTCCTCAAGGACGCTGCTTCGCCGATTCGTACGCCCAGCTCCGCCCGCGTTCCGCTTTCAGCCTTTCACAGCTCCGCTCCAACGCCGAACCCTCGCATCACACCAAGATGCAACCTACCCCCAAGTTCCATACGAAAAAGCTGAGAGTGTCGGAGAGAAGAGATTTAGCCAGTTCGACCTCGACGGGAAAGTGTTCGTGGTTACAGGTGCAGCATGCCGTCCTCCTCCCTTGTGCAGAGCAAATGTCACGCCTTTGTAGCCCTTGTTAACGAATAAACAGGTGGAGGTCGTGGACTAGGACTATGCATGGCTGAAGGGCTCGTAGAAGCTGGTGGCAAGGTGTACTGCCTCGATCGGTTGCCAGAGCCTCCTCAAGCGTTCCAAGAAGCCCAGACACGGCTCAAGAGCAATCACGGTGCCAGTCTGGAGTACCATAACGTGGATGTGACGCACGAGGAGGCGATGCGGAAGTGCATCGGGGATGTTGCGTCAAAGCATCAACGGCTCGATGGCCTTATTGCAGGTACGGGTCAGTCAATGCTGTTAGAAGTAATATACTGACCATTTCACCCTACAGCCGCCGGCATCCAGCAAGTAACGCCGGCTATCGAGTTCCAGAAGAAAGACATTCAAAAGATGTTAGACGTCAACTACACTGGCGTGTTCCTAGCAGCACGAGAATGCGCCCGTCAGATGATGCAATACAAGATTCAGGGATCGATCTGCCTCGTCGCAAGCATGAGCGGAACCATCGCCAACCGCGGTTTCATCGCACCTGTTTACAACTCGTCCAAAGCAGCGGTGGTACAGCTAGCACGGAACCTAGCCATGGAGTGGGGAAGGAAGAATCCAGACGGCTCAGGTGGTATCCGAGTCAATTCTTTGAGCCCCGGTCACATCGTTACACCGATGGTGCAGGCCAACTTCGACAAGGGCGAGGCGAATCGCGAGGAATGGGAGAATAACAGTATGCTGGGTCGGCTCAGCACGCCGGAAGAGTACAAGGCTGTGGGCTTGTTCATGTTGAGCAAGGCAAGCAGCTACATGACTGGGCATGATCTGAAGCTAGATGGTGGTACTACTGCCTGGTAAAAGAGTTGTCAGGCGACGTGTAGTCTACCGTACGGTGCGAGCATTCTCAGCGACAAGTCAGGCGTCAAGGTTAACGAATTATGACGAGTATGATGTATTTGTTTCTTCCAATTCTGCTTGATATGACTTTGTGAAGGTGGTGATGCTTTCTGCCCTAGCAGTGTAAAAAGTGATGATGGAGAGCGCACGCTACGCTCCTGCCAATGGCCGCTCAGGGTCCGCACGCGCCTTCCCCACTCAACGCTAGCTTACAATCGGACCATCTGTCCTTCCGCGCATCCCTCGCGACAGCTGTACATTTCCCAAAGCCACGCAAGAGCGCGAAACAACTCGAGCCTGCAAGCGCTGCAGCTCTACAAACACGACTCTTTCAACATGGACCGGTTAGCACGTCTCCTCAGCTTCGTGCTGCTCGCCCTCCTCCCCCTCACAGCAGCCCTCAAATTCGATCTCCACCCCGTAGCAGCACACGACTCAGCCAAGTACGAGCGATGCATTAGGAACTTTGTTGCGAGGGAACAATTGGTTGTTGTCACGGTGATTATGGACGGATATCGGGGGGACGGACAGAGGGTGGATATGCATGTACGTTGCAACGACTAGAATCAGCAACAAGGCTCGCATGCGAGCAATGCGGACACGAGAAGGATATATACTGACAATGCCCAAATAGATCCGCGACGCAATGGGCAACGACTACCACCGTCCCAAAGACGTCGTAGGCGAGAACCGCTACGCCTTCACCTCGCACGCCGACTCTGCCTTTGACGTCTGCTTCGAAAACATCTTTACCTCGTCCGGCTCCTCCAAGTCCATCACCCCGCGCCACGTCGAGCTCGACATTGACATTGGCGCCGATGCCAAGGACTGGAATGCCATTGGAGCCGCCGACAAGCTGAAGCCTGTTGAGGCGGAGCTCAGGAGGATCGAGGAGGTTGTTGGAGAGATTGTCACGGAGATGGATTACCTGAGGAGTCGCGAGCAGAAGCTTAGGGATACCAATGAGAGCACTAATGAGAGGGTCAAGTGGTTTGCGTTGGGTACCATGGGTATGCTTGTTGGGCTTGGGGCCTGGCAGGTTGTGTACCTTCGTGCCTACTTCAGGAGTAAGCATCTCATCTAGAGAATTGCGTAGTGGCTCTGGATGGTTCGGAAGGCTGAGAGCGTTTTGGTTAAAAGAGAGATTTTGGCGACCTGGTGTGTATGGATGGGTACGATACGAGCATGGAAGCTTCATGGACTGCATACTTCACACACGACTGGAGCGGCGTTGGTAGGACATATCCAAATTTCAAAACTTGTTCACAATAGCTCACGTCTTCTCTGCCTCTAATGGCACCCAACTGACAGTGTACTAACGTTTAGTCGTCTGCTTATACATTGCTATAGGTGCAGCTAGTCCGCATACACTACAGATACACACATTGCGAAAGAAAAGACACGCGCAAGATAGCCTATCTATCCCTGCTTGATAGTCTCAACCTCCAACTCGATCAGCATCTGCGGAAACGCCAAATGCGGCACCGCAACCGCCGTCCAACATGGCCGATGTCCCGGGATCCTCTCCTTGAGCGCCTTGACTAGCGGATCCTAACTTGACCGGATATCAGTGTGGTAGCTCCTCAAATGGTACACATCTTCCCAGCCACGTAGTCCCGCGGCTTTCAACACTAGGTCCACGTTCTTCATTGCAATGGCTATTTGCTCGTCGCTGTTGTTGGCGTCGAGGGCGCCGGTGGTGGGGTCCCAGCCGCCTTGGCCCGAACACTTTATGATACCGTTGGGCAGGGTGACGGCCATGGAGAAGTGACTTTCGTCTGAGAAGTTTTGGGAGGCGCCGGGAGGGTTGGTGTAGGTCAGGGAGGACATGATTAGGTTGGATAAGGTGGATGGTTGAACTGGAGTGTGTCAGGAGATTCTTGCTACTTGCGAATTGGGAGCAAGGTACCTACTTGGGTTAATGAACGAGCAGACCGAGATATGTGTGTAACGGTGTGATGTCGACGTTCAAAAAAAATAATATCAAAGTGTTTGTCCAGGTGGTGTGGAGAACAGTTATCCTGCGATCGAGCAACCAGAGCGACACCTTCTTTTATATTGCTTAACTTGAGATCAAGGTCGACGTTATTTAGTCCCACTAGGTGACTAATCCGTCCCTTAGTCTTCGTGCCATCAGGTTATCTCTATCGGTGATGCAGAATGCTCGTCGTTGGAGAAGTCGGCCCGAGAAGTTGGAGATAGACACCGTGAGAGATGCTAGAATTCTGCAGTGCCGATCCAGTTTTATTCTGCATTTCCTGGTATCGCGTGACCATCCCTGGGAAGCTATGATGTCCACTTGGTCTACTCCATCATAGTATCTTCTTCGGTGCCCACAGACCGTGCGTATTGGCCGAGAGCCTGCCCAAGCGTACGTGCAAACGGCTTCTCACTCAAACTTACCAGCACGCGGCTCCAGTATAGCAAGACAGACTTTGCGAGTACCTTCGTGTTCGTAAAATCCGGCTGGCCATCCGAAACATCCAAAGAGGACCACGCCATCGATAGAGCTCCCCTGAGATCCTCGATGATGACCTGACAGGCTTGATTGCCACTGCTTTCGACTGCCGCTTTCTTGATCCATGCACATAGAAACAGAGCAGATTCGAAGATCAAGAGTACATTCCACAGTGTCCAAGTATTAGCGTGGTAGCGAAGGAAGAATGCGAAGCCGGTATTTGCAGGATCCTCGAAGAGATGGACCGAGGCGCCCACGTCACACAAGAGCACATCGTCGCTCAGTGATTCCGGGAAAACATATTGCTGATCATGAAGGTATAGTAGCATCTCTGCCGCCTCCTCAGTCTTGTACATAGCCGAATCTATCACCAACCAATGTCTGATACTTTCAAGATGCACAAGACTTTCCGTCTTTTGTCTTTGACGTTGAAACTTATTGGTTTCTGTCATCGAAGCGAATCTTACGCGAGCTCCGGTGAGCGCTATAGCATCTCTGATTGTTCGGATGAGTAAGTGCGGCGCAAACAAACTGTGTCTCAGGGAAGCCACTCACTTGTATCTTGCTTCTTCCTTCGATATGTCATCATGAGCCCTGAAAAGCGCTCTCGCTTCTCTGCTCACACAGAGGTAATGGGTGAGGAATGCGAGTATTACAAAAACTTGAAATATGTCTAGACTGCTGAGCATAGTAGCACGTCCGTCGTACGGTATCCCTAGTAATTGGTTGATGAATTCCAAGATGTGTTCACCTTGCAAAGGTCGGGACGTGTTGTTGCGGTCAAGATCTGCGTGTCGCAACGTCTCCCAGCTATCCGCTAAACATGGAAATCGGAAACGAACGTTAGCAGGCCATGCCATGATAGAGGAATCAAAAACAAAACTGTGTATCGCTATGGCACAGGCACCGAAGGCTTGGCTCCTTCTCTCCAACTCCTCGATCAGCCATTGTGAATATGATGTCGACGGTGATGATTCGACATTCTTGGCACCGACTTCAAAACATAGCTGAAGTGCATAGTGAAATCGGCGAAGCTCGTCCATGGTGTTTGCAGGTAACTCGATCGTGATGAAATCAATAAGTAGCACAAACGCGCTTGTCAGCTGCCAGGATAGACTAAGAATGGGTTAGCACGACTCTTCGATGCCGCTCTGGAAAATTTTAAACATGCCGTTCAGGTGATTCCGTTGTCCACGTGTGTAGAGCTGCGCTTTTACTTGCTGAGAACAGTGCTCTTGCGCTTTTGTACTCGAGAAGATGTAACGCTCCCAATGCAAACATAGCAGTGCGCAAGGCGAATTCCATGCTTGTGAGTTCCATGGTGGGATGAATCAAGGCTGAATTGGTGTGGAAGTGGAAGGATTGTCGATATCGCTGGCAAGCTTGAGTAGACGGTGGTACAAACTTTGGCTCTCTCTCCTGGTACTCCTGCCACATACTGTCTGTCGTATTGGACGAGATGGCGGAGAAGCCACTCGGATTAGTGTTAGAATGCGTTGGCAGTGGTCCAGTCCTTGTCAGCGGGGTGATAGAGTTGGAGTCTTCGGGCGCATTGTCAAGACGTTCGTTGTTTGATTCATGCCGATCAGCCATATCTTGGAGACTACTTTGGGAAAGGAAAGTCTCGAATTGCTTCAAACCCCTTTCTTGTGCTGGTGGGGAGGGTAAGGACGTGCCTGAAGCGTCAGGTAAGCATTCGATGTTATAGCTTGAATACACTAACCAAGGTGGTGATACTCAGGAGGAAGCGGCAATGCTTCGCTTGGAGGTATGGCAGCACCACTCTGGCCAGCTTCATCCGATGCCGCATGAGCAAGTCGCCTGTGACGTTTGAGCAGGTCTTTTCTAGCAAACGACAGCCCGCAATCACAGTGATACGGCTTTTCTTTGGTATCTACCAGGTTATATCAGCCATATATCAGCCTTTGCTCTGGATGATATTGTATCCTCTCAGCCATGACATTGATACACCAAGACATTTGAAAAATGTTCACATACGCGTTCGAGTATGTCGTTGTAAATGTTCGAGCTTGCGAAATTGCCGATCACACGTTGCGCATGAGAATGTTTTCGTGGTTGCATCTGCCATCATTGCCGAGTATGCTGTTGGAGAATTGGAGAAAAGTGACGGTTCGTCTCTGGCGCCCTTATTTAGTGCGAGATTAGCTAGCCCCACCTTTCAAGACACCGAGTTTCTCCAACAAGAAGCGGCAATCTTGATCACCGTTCCTGAAGCGATATCCGATTTTCAACTACTATTTCCTTTGGATAGTGCTGGAATGATTGCGACATGTCGCACGCTCGGAGGAAGCCTATACCCGTCAAGCTAGCGTGCAGCTCGTGGTACGTCATGATCCTGACCGAGGAGTGTTAAAACTGGGACACAAGTCACGCTATGTCTACCTGCGATGAACACAATCTACAACTCATGTACTGCCTCTCCTGATCCTGTAGCAGCAGGGCGTCGCGATTGAAATGTAGTGGTACCAACCCTTGCAGTCGCGTAAGCTAAAATTCTGTCCGCCACCCTGCACAGTCCACTAACATAGCTATCGGCAGTGCCTACGTAAGAACGCAACATGCGTGTATTTACCCAATCGACGGGGTCGGAAGACTACATCGAGAGCTGTAAATCTTCCTGAGCCTAGGGATTCATCAATGAATGCTCTTGGCTCATGGGGCGCGTCTGATCCTAGTATGTTCGATTGTCAAATGTCCGACAACATGGGCCCGGAGTATCCTCGAGAGACTTATTATGGCGGGTTACTTCCCCCATTGTTTAGTGGGGATCTAGGTTCCTTCCAGTTCGAGGGAATGTTCGGCGGTAGTACGGACGCGGAACTGGATAGCTTCTTTGCTGAGATGTTCAGGATACCGTCATTTCCACGAGTTGGCTCCTTCGATCCTACTGATTTGGTACTGGGGGAGTCTCAGCCTGTCTATCAACAGCCGTATCACTCCGATGCCCAGATCCTTGGAGCTTATTACAAGCACATACATCCTGTTTTCCCAATCCTGCCTCCACCGATAGAGGAACCGAGAATTGACTCTTCAGAAGAGGATGTCAGCAGTAGTGGCTCGTTTCTCTCACAAACTTCGTCACCTCTGATCCTAGCTCTGTCTTCAGTTCTGTATCAGTCAGATGCATTGAAACCTCCAAGTGTTGTCAACGATGGAAACTTCGTCCAAAATCTATACCAGCGGGCGGCAGACTTGGTCGAACCGTTCTCCCTTTCGTCTCCCCTCTCCCAAGATACAGTCCTCCCATCGGTATTCCATCCGCATGTACCTCAGCGATTGGAACTGCCACTGGCATGTTGTGTTCTTAGCTTGTACCAGTATCTTCGCTGGGGCAATATTGAAGAGATGACGCGTTTGGCACAGAAAGCTCATAGCATAATCAAGGCTATGTCTGTAAATTGGGAGCATGTTGGCGCATTTGTAGAAGCTCAGCGGAGAGCGTGGTGGATGAGTGTGATGTGCGTATACAACGCCAACATCGTTAGCTGTACGGTACGGTGTCCACCAAGACACCTTGTACACCGATCTTGACCAAAGCTGACTATGTTGTAGTCACCAGTAAACAAGATTGACATTCGTACCGTCAATATACCGCATCCTACCACCTTGGGTAAATCGGAGATGTGGGCCCAATACGTCTCCGCCGAAGAAACTCTCGTTGCTTCCACTCTCCTTCTAGTAGCATTGGTGAAGGGCAGCGACTCCAAAACCGAGGTGCCAGCTTTCAACCAAAATATTCGCCTACTAGACAAAGTCATCACCCGCCAACTAGCTGCAATATCCGACACCCCATCATTAATTCACGATGTGTCGTACCGCACAGAAGAGAGACTCGCCATATCCCTACGCGCCATAGCAAAGATACGACTACACAGGTAAATAAAGTTGAGCGCATCCTTTCGTGACACAGCCGCTGATACAAACACAGTGCACGCATAAAACTACACAGATATCGCGCCTTCATGCACCACCCCACCATCCTCCAGAAGTTTTCGCCAACTACAACGACTCGAGGCCATCACCATCGCGTCACTAACACTAAACACCACAGCAACGGTGATATACAGCACGACCACCGTTCCACCTTCTCCTCGTCCTCTTCCTCTGGTATCACCCGCAGCCTCAATCCCCATCACGAAACACTTCCAACCACCCAAATCTTCCCCTTCTCGACCCACCACGCACTGATTACCTGCCTCGACTCGGCCACCACGATCACAGCCTCACTATCCCATCTCGTCTCCCTGGGCACATGTGCAGCTCCACAGATCTGTTCGGCAGCCTTGGGGAGCTACACACTGATGATGATATTCCACTTTGAACACCAACTACCACAATCCCAATCGCAGTCCCAGTTGCATCCGTCCTCGCAATTAGGGCCACGGCCACAGCCACGGTCACAGCCACGATTAGCGACACGGATGATGAGTCCTTCTGGCGTGATGCAGGGTTCTATACAAGCACAATGCGAGGAGAGCGCCGGTACGGCTGTAAAGGTGCTGGAGAGTTTTGCAGGTTGTTTCGAATTCATCGGCGGACTAAGAGATCAGATCAAGAAGGCTGCTCATGCAACGTTTTGCTCCCGTCCATCATAGTGCTGGAAGGCAGGCAGAGTGAGCACGATAAAATAACAGAATAAGAAAGTGTAGTAACTCAGAATGGGACAAGATGATCAAAAGGGCGAAGACGAGACAAGGAAGATTTTACCAACGTGAATGATAAAAAAAAAAAGAAGACTACTCAAACTTTTTCCTAACCCTAACTAGACTCCCCGGGTAACTCCAAAAGTTTATGAATGGAGATTGGTTTTCGTTACAACATGAGACTACTCTCTTTGAGCGGGATGTGATAAGAGGTTGCTTAAAAAAACCCCAATCTTACCCCTAAAACGCCGCCCAATGCAAATGACCATGTCCGTCATCCCTCATTCTTCCAAAGCTCGTTGGGGGGTATACAGGTATATAGTACAAGAAAGGGAAAAGAAAAAGGGCGGCTAGAAGACGTCAGACTCCCGTGAGAAAGGCTTAAAAGGGTGAGGCTGGCTCCCTCCTTGGTCGGTCACCACCAAAGCCGCCTCCTCCTCTCCTGTCACCGCCCCTGTCACCACCGAAGCCACCTCCGCCTCTCCGGTCACCTCCGAAACCACCACCTCCTCTCCTATCGCCGCCAAAGCCGCCACGATCACCACCTCGGTTGCCACCAAATCCTCCGCTTCGGCCACTGCGTTCAGCACCGTACGAACTACGGTCGTATCCGCCGCCGCCTCTCCTGTCACCACCCCTGTCACCACCGAAGCCACCTCCGTCTCCCCTGCCGCCTCCGAATCCGCCACGACCACCGCTACGGCCGCCGCCGCCACGTCCACGGCCTCCCATGTAGAGGCTAGCAGGCGGTGGTGGTGGCGAAGGCATACCCCAACCAAACTCTGCTAGACGGTTCGCACCTTCCAGCAGACCCTGCTTGTCACCGTACCACTGAAAGCTTCCAAAGAGGCCACGGAATGCGGCGTCAAGTTGGTCAGGGTAGACCTTCTTGTGTGCCTCGACAGTGTCAGATAGAATCTTCGCAACGTCCTCAGGCATCTCAGCTGCTTGTGTCATATCAACCGTCGCAGTCTCGAGCGTGTGGGTTCCATCTTGGAGGGGCAGATTGTTGAGACGGCGGCGGACCTCGTGCTTCTCGAAGGGCGTTAGGAAGAGCCAGCCTTCACCTTCCTTTCCGGCACGGCCTGTGCGACCGAGACGGTGAATGTAGGAGTCGCGTTCACGGGGAAGACCAATTTGGATGACGTGAGTGACCTCGGGGAAGTCCATGCCACGAGCTGTTACGTCAGAGGAGAAGAGGATGCCGGACTTTGCGAAGCGGAAATCATCTGCTGCCCTTGTACGTTGCGCTTGGGTGAGCTTGGCGTGGATCTCATAGGCGCGGAGGCCAGACAGAGGGGTATTGCGCTTGAAACCACCACCGAGCTTGTAGAAAACCGATGCTGCCAATGTGACTTCAGCGGTGCTGTTGAAGTAAATAATGGCCTTGAATGGACGGCTTTCGCCAGATTGAGCTTTCTGTTGCGATTGCAGAACGAGCTCGTACAGCGCAGGCATGATGTTCTCGAAACCGGCGAGGTTGACGTATTTCTGCGGGATACGCTGGTGCGTTGGTTCTTCGTTTTCATCCACACACTTTGCGAAGTGGAAGCCGGGTCGCATGGTCGCGCGGACAAGGCCGACAACCTCGCGGGGAATAGTAGCGGAGAACATGAGGTTTTGGCGTTCGACTTCAGCTGGGTCGGGCAGGAAGTTCTTAATCTCGTCAATCTCCTTGGAGAACCCGTCGTCCATCAGGCGATCGGCCTCGTCCATGACCAATGCACTCAATTTGGGGGCCTTGACGCCAGAGTATGGATCTGAAAGGATGTCGAAAAGTCGTCCGGGGGTCGCAATCATTAGGTGGCATCCTTCGCGCTGTGTCTTCTGAAGCATAGCCCTCTTCTGGGTGCCACCGACTGCAACTTGCGTGACGATGCCGGTACCGGCAGTCACCTTCTTAGCCTCGACAGCGATCTGCTCTGCAAGTTCTCGGGTAGGTGAGATGATAATGGCCCGGATGTCATCGGGTTTCGCACGCTTGTATCCTCTGGGCTTCTCGCCGAGCTCGGGGGCGCTCGCAATGATTCGTTGGATGACGGGGACGAGGAAACCGAGCGTTTTACCGGTACCGGTCTTTGCTTGTGCGATGCTGTAATGTGTTAGTATATCGTAAGACGAGGGTCGGCGAAGGGTCTTACATGTCAACCCCGCTCAGGGCTTCGTTGATAGTCCTGGTCTGCACGTCCGTCATAGTCGTGAGCTTCATCTGGTTCGTGATAGTCCTGATGAGGTTGGGATGGACGAGTCCGCGTGTGGCCAATTCCTTGAACTCTGTGACGGGGCCATCTTCCTCGATGCTCTGTTGTTCCTCTTGAGCCTCTTGTTGCCACCTTGTGGCGCTGTTGTGGAAGCCGGCGAACGAGACATTCTGGAGGCGCGCTGATTGCAGTGGTATCCTCAGAACGCTCGAGTTGTGGGTGAGGGGTGTGCGGAGAGTCCTAGTAGAGACTGAGGCAAGATTCCTCGCGAGTGTCGCGGGACATCTTCTCACTGCGCCGAACATAATGTGCGGGCAATATTATACACTTGCTCGTGACAGAGGGTATCTGTAACGATTGGAATGAGCAAGAGAGATTATATCCTGAATACGCCTGAAAGAAGAAGGCGGGTTGGAGAAAAAAATGGCGTGTATTCGCCTGAGATGTTACCGCTAGAAACTTTGCCATGCAGCACTTTTCCAAGGGACGTGCACCCACAACGCGCGCTAGGAAGTCCGCCCGATAACGATAAGCGGCGTTCGTTGTCACGTGAAAGCGTCCAACCCCAAATAGACTTTGGTAATGCAGAGTTCCTCGTTCACAACATAGCTGTCGTTTGAGAGTACTCTCCGTACAGATAAAGTACAGATTCAGGAAGTCGTGAGTAGCCTTCTATGCTCTCAGGGTTACATTGCAGTACTAGTCCGGGCAGCATAGCGTGAGAATTCAATGCGTATCATTAATTCGTAAACTATCGAAACATGCGAGTTCCAAACGCCTTGTCCAATGCATCATGACCTTCCCAATGCTTCACGCAATGCAGTATAAATTCTCAATTACCCCTCTCCTCCCTCTCTTCCACCCTCACAACCCTTAGCCCCTCAGCAATTCCCTCCTGCACACCCCCTGTGATCCCCCTGACCCACCAAACAGCCACCTCATTAATCACCTGACCAACCATACCATCGTTCATTTGGCACACAGTCTGGCTCAGCCTCAACGTCTTCCGTCCAATGTCATCGACGGTCGCAACGCTCGTATTGACCAGCCGTTTTGCGATCTGATGTTTCCGCTCAAACTGGTAGGTATGCGAGAGGAATAACTTGATATATGGTAGCAGGAACTGCATAAGGATGAAGGATTGTAAGACGAGGGTCGCAGTCAGCCGGTGCAGAATCGTGGGGTCGCGAGGTGGTGCATGGTTGGTGGCTGCGGTATGTTGGGAGACGGCGAGTAAAGCGTGCGTGTCTGCGGAATGCCTTGTCTCCACGAGGTCTTGTGGAAGGGCGGCCTGGATGCTTGATGTCTCTTCTGGTGTAAGTTTCGTTGGCAGCCCTCGCAGTAGATATGTCACGCCATGCACGTAGAGTTGGCGGGTGAGCGTCGCGGATGTTTCGTCAGAGGTACCAATGAATTCACTGGATTCTCGCGATGCTTGAGCCATGAGGCTTGTTCCTATGAACTGTGAGCATGCAACGCCAACATTAACGAGCCACATTCCATACCTAAGGAAGCATAACTCCACCTAATCCCAGTGCTCGTCTCTTGAGGGCGATATAGTTGTGGAAGTGCGCTTCCGGAAGACCCAGGTCTATCCTCCGCGTCGTCCACGAAAGCAGCATCTGCTTCACCCAACGCAACAGAGAGTCTATGTGGTGTGATAGAGCCGCTTGGTGGTATCGACGAGTAGCCTGGCGGAGGTGTCTCGGGTTGTGGCAGTTCATCGATAGAGGCTGACTTGCTGTGTGAGCCGCGATTCCGTACATCGTTGAGAGATTGTCGGAGCGAAGGTATCGTCGGAAGGTGGTTCGATACAACAGTAGGGAGCACGCTGTAAAGCATACTAGGCCGGTAGCTCGTCTCCTCCCCTTCCATTATCGCCGCTGTATCGAAAGTCGACGTGGGCATCTCAGCGCGTTCGACCCGCAGCATACTTTCGGCTTATCTCTCGGGCGTATCCTAGACAAGTTATGATCCTTCGCAGCCTTACCCAGAGTTCCCCTCAAAAGAATGCGAAAAGCAATCGGCCAAATGGTAACACGGCAAGAAAAGATGCAAAGCCGAGAAAAATGTCATGGGAGATAAGCTTGGGGCTCTGCATGTGACGCCCGCCGCACAGCGGCTATCCTCGTTTTGCTGAGACGGCATTATTCCGAATCCGTGCGGATTTTCGAGGGAGTCGTGAGTTGCAAGCATGTGAAAGTGTTGAGTCGAGCACACCACACATGTGCAGCGCCGTTGCGCCAGGGTCGGGCAGATAGCCGAGCGCCGAACACCAATCAGCTGAGACGCGGAACAACGTGTGGGAACCTTCTGATATCCTTGCATTTGCCTTGAGACACGCCAACCTGCTATCGTGATCTAGTCTACTGATGGCTTCAAAATTCCTGCTGGAAGCACATGTGATCGAGATGCCTTGGAGATGCACCGCAGCTCACCAAGCGAACCGCGCTGAAGACTCACCTGCCCAGGTTGCCCACCGTGCATCAACCGGCTGATCGATCTCTTCGACCTTGTCCTCTAGGTCTGTATACATCTCGTCGTCCACGCTTTCCTCCGAGATCGTCCTTCCGCCGAGATCGTTGCGGCCTAGAGTCAAGGACAAAGTTAGTTTTTTAGTTACCACCTGCAGGCGAGACTTTCTTACCATCGTCAACACCATACTCGCTCTCCCTAGGACCTTCATCCATCTCCTCACCAGCTGGTATCCCTTCATCTCGTGTCATACCCTGCCTCACCGGAATCTTTTCAGTATCCCTAATCACATCCAAAACCCGCTCACAGTACTTCTTCAACCTCTCCTCGTCGTCCCATATCCTCCTCGCAGTGCCCTCATCCATGTCGCCCCTGTTTGCAACCAACTCTTTCCAGTATTTCAAGTCACGTACGTCGCGATGTAGATACCTCCCAACATGCTTGATATCGTCGATATCCTCGTACAACCAGCGGGTACCGCCGTTCGAGTCGCGGGCGTAGTTGATGACGAGGTCGTAGGCGCGCGTTGTGCGGTGGATAAGGGGGTGTAGATAAGAGTCTTGTTGCTGAGGTTGTTGGAATGAAGTCATATTTGCGGCGGTGTGACGGCGGGGGTTGACGGGAATGCGGTTCACCTCTGCGTTGTAGTTGGGCTGATTAGCTGCTGGTGTCTGTAGCAGTACGTTACTGTACGATGGACGGTAGACGCTGGCACGGGGAACATAGGGATGGGCCATTGTTGCAACTTTGTTCGATGCTGAGGGTGGAAGCGAAACAGAGAGTTCAGGTTGCAGGTGGAAAAGGTTCGTTGTTTCATGTCTGCGTTTGTCTCTGATGAAAGTGAAAGGTGAGGCCAAACTGTCTGCACGCATGGATCGTTGCCTGATTAAGAATCTGGGGGAGTCCCGCTTACGATGGTCATGTGGATCTCAAATGTCCAGTGTCTACCCAGATCCCAGGTCGCAGGGTTATTGTATCGACCGGACAGCTACATGACTCTCTGGGGGAAGAGATGATTGCCGATGATGCGGCGGGCCATGCGACGGTCTCAGTCCGCATTTCAAAATGTTCAGTTGTCGCAAGACAGGGAACACATGCCTCCTCTCTGTACCAGGCCGAGTAAGACAGAGTCCATGTATCAGCCACATACCCGGTCTTAGTCTTGGTTCGACTGCCTTGCAGCCTCACCACGTACCCACACACATTATCAGCCTCTCGCCGTCTGTGTACCATCCATCTCCACCGGCGGCCCAGGAAACGCTCTCACAGCTCTCGATTCCTCATCCACCTCCACCGGCCCCGTAGTCCCATCCGTCTCAACGCGCCCCGTAGTCCCGTCCGCCTCAGCTCTCCAATCTTCACCCATAAAGCTCTTGAATCCTCCTGGACTACCTTCCATCTCCGGTTCGTTCCGATGCTGGAGGCGTTGTCTTTGCTGCTTGCGTCTTCTCCAAATGTACAGGAGGAAGACGATACCGATTATGACGAATGCGCCTACACCAACGGCTATACCAGCTATCGCGCCAAGACTCAAGGCGGATTTTTCTTTATCTGAATTCGTGTTCGAAGGTGGGGATATTGGAGGAGTATCGTTCGACGAAACACTAGCTGTGGTTCCAAAGGAGATTTTGAGTAACGATGCGAGGCCCGACGCGTACAAGCTAGGGAAGCTCGATAGGTCGGTCGATTCCCACCACACGGCAAATGGAGGCGCAATCATGGTACCAGATGTCAATTCCGTCGTTCGTTTTAGAGTCGTAGAATTCGGGCAAACTGCACTGCCATCTGACTCTACACAGAATCTTTCCACGACATCAATGGCCGATATGGTAACAACCGTGTTGTTCTGGTTCAGCAAGGTAGTCGCAAAATTTGTGAGCGCTGTCATGGGCAATGTGATACTCTGTTCACAGCGGTTCTTCCCGGAAACGAGTGTCATAGGACTATGGAGATACGTAAGTAAGAGTAAGGTTGAGAAGCGTTTCGTTGTGGGCATTAACTAATTACAACAAATCCCCATCCATAAACGCGAAGTCTGATAATGGAACTCTCTTATAGCGAGCATAGTTTGATCAGCTGTACACAACCCGGGACTATATGCTATTGGCTCTGCTTGGCGCAATGGATGGCAGCTGGCATAGTAGTTTGGTGACAGAAGGCTACCATAATATTCGCGGCGATCTGTAGCTGTGGAATAGTATATGAAGCCACTGATGACTTCGTTGGAGGTAAGAGGGTTTTGTATCCATTTAGATGAACAAATAGATGATGGTTGGGTGAAGACTGTAGGTAGTGCAGGAGCGCCGACGGGATGCCATACGCTCCAAGTATCCGAGTCGCCAGCAGTCAATGTTTCGACTAGGACCATATTCGATGGTTTAGATTGAAGAGTCGCGAGGATACAGAAAAACAAATAGGAAGAGGTAAATGGCTGTCTTAATGAGAGAGCTTGATCAATAGCTTTTGAAGCAGATACCAGCTTACCGGTTAAATTGAAATGCAGGAACACACCCCGGTACAGCGTCATGCTCGACTATTTGGGGGCTACCGAGGCATTTTCGATAAAGCAGATCGAACCGATTGCGATGACGATTCTGATGGGGGGACCTCGCACAATGGGGTCGTCACTGCCTCGTGCCGTGCCGCAAGGCTGTTCCATACATGGCTTTACTGGATGTTATCTAGTGTGTAAGCGTACCTGGGTAGTGCTTACCTCAGAAATGCGATATGCCAACAGAGTTAGCCTCTCTGGTATGTATGGGTATGGGTGTCGATTGGACTTATGATGTCATAACAGGCGCGTAGCGTTGGGTTACTGCATAGCCGAAGTGGCAGCTAAAGTCAGGGCAAGACGGACTAGAGCAATCAGGCCAGGACGAAAGGGAAGAAATAATGGAGATCACGGAGGATACACATCTAATCAAGCGCACCGAGCGACACAGCGCGATGCTTCTGTGGGTTTACCCTGTACCTGTATCTTGTTACTATCTTTTATCTGGAGAAGGGGTATCGATACTCTGCTCTTCACTGGTGCTATTTTGGCTTTCACAAGCCCAATGTCTCTTGAAAAAGCTCGTGAGGTTGTCGCATCAGCCTTGATCCATCCCAATCATTTACAGCTTTGTCGCGCACCCGGGAAGATTATCGACTCCTCTCTGCTGGTGTACTATCCAACTCCACAGGCGGTCCTGGAATGATCTTCACGCTTGTCGATCCAGCTTCCACTGGCTGCGATGTTCCGTCTTGCTCAGCTCGCCATCTCCCGCCCACGAAGTGCTTCAATCCCCTCGAACTCCCTTCCATTTCCGACATGCCCGGATGCTGAAGACGCTGTTGCTGCTTCTGCTTCATCCTTCGCCGGAGATACAGGAGTAGTACGATGCTGACTATAAGGAACACGCCAATACCGACAGCTATGCCAGCTATGGCGCCGGGACTCGGGCCAGAGTTTTTTGCCCTTGGTGTCGGGGGTGGAGGCGAAGTTGTGGTGAAGTTTTGCCAGGTTACATTGATTACCGAAGCAATAGACGACGCATATTCGTAGGGAAATCCACTTAGATCGCTTGACTGCCAATACACCACCATCGGACGTGCATGTGCCACACCAGATTTAACTTCAACTGGTCGACCCAGAGTAGTCTCAGGCTGACAAGGGTTGGAACCTGCACATAACATCGTTGTAAGGTCGATGGCAGGAACCGTAACAGTCGTGTCGATGTCGACCGACAATGTGGTCGTGAAGTTTGTGAGAGCAGTCATCGGGGATGAAAAGGTCTTTTCGCAAGAACCGCCCGCAATCGATATTGTCATATCCCTGTGGATCATGTAAGTAGGGGTAGCATTAGCATCATAAGAGACTCATCACGGGGCACAACCTGTCGCAGCATTCTGCCCTCCATACTCGGTTGCTACCAAATTGCAACTCGATTATGGCAGCCACAGTCTGACTTTCTGTACATACACCGGGGCTATAAGCTTGCCGTGTAAGCTGACCATAAGGAAGGCAGCGGCCATAGTAGTCGGTTGGCAAGTAGTCTCTATACTGGTAATTGGCGCCTTCGAATTGGAAATAACCGAATCCGCTATTGACCTCGTTTGAAATGAAGGGATTCTGTATCCATTGACTTGAGCACCCGGCTGGGGGTACAAATATATCTGTTCATGCGGCAAAACCAGTAGGTGACATGGTCATCCAATGAGCCGCGTCTGAGGCGGTTGATGTTGATATCACCACCATGTTTGCTGTTGGAGATCGAAGGATTGCAAGAGCACAGGGAAAAAAGCTCGAAGGTAGCAACACAGAGGTTGGGGTAGAAGGCTGATACACAGTAGAGGAGCATAACCACTATCTGTTGGGGCGGGCTCCAATAACCCAAAAAGCTGACCGGTTAAAGACCACAAGCAACTTCACACTGTGGCACAATGTCACGACCAACTCACTGGAACTGCCAAGGTCTTGACAGTATGATAGTCTGACCAGCGGTGATGTTTCTGGACGACCGAAGCCACACGACAGGGTCCGCAGCCTTGTCGTCGTGGCCCCCACAGCCCTCAGGATGCAGATCGCACATGAGCTAGTGCAAAAGCATGAGGGAACGAGGGCGATCAGCCGGCTTATAAGGGAAGGTGAGAAAGGACAATATGAATTTGAGTTGGTATTGACCTACTTCGGCCCACAAGAATCGCTTATCGCACGCATGTCGTGATCTAGTTGGGCGCACCAGTACCTCTCGGCCTGTGCGACACAGCACGGTGCTTCTGTGGCTCATCCTTGTACTTCTGAACGATCCTCGCAATAGAATCCAGCCCCTTCTCCAACACATCCATCCTCGGTCCATAACTCAACCTAACAAAGTGATGGCAAGGCGAGTCAAACAGATCCCTACGCCTACTCGGGTTCAAATCGAAAAAGATGCCCGGCACAACAATAACTTTTTCCTCGAGACAAGCCTGGAAGAAGTTCAATCCATCGTTGATGCCCTCGGGCAGATTGCTCAAATCGAGCCACAGGTAAAACGTCGAGTTGGGCATGTACGGGAACTTGAAGCCGATTTCCTGGAGACGGCCAATGACGTAGTCGCGCTTGGTCCGGAAGTGCATTTGCAGCGCGCGCATCTCGTTACGAACGCGGGGTGGAGATAGCATTTCTACGGCGGCTTCTTGGAAGGGCACGTTGCAGCCACCGTCGAGGTAGGAACCGCAGGAGCCGATGGCCTGGATGAATTCCTTGGGGCCAATGACCCATGCTACACGCCATCCGGGGAGACGGAAGCGCTTGGTTAGACCGTCGATGATGAGCACGTCGTCCTCGTCGACGTCTTCGACGTTGTCTGCGGCGGAAATGACGGTGCCGTCGCAGTTGGTGGTGTAGTTGTAGCCGCAGTAGAACTCGTCCATGATGAGGGTTGCGCGGTCGCGGCAGATGTTCTGAATCTGTGCGAGTTCGGGGTTGGTGACCTAATTGACGCACAAAGTCAGTATTTGTCTCACATGCAATTCATGCAGAATTGATTCTTACCATCTGACCTGTGGGATTACGCGGGTTCGATGTAAGAATAACAGATGTACCGCGGGCGATTTCCTCGGCAATCTTGTCGGGTGACATGTGGTATTGGTCTGCTTCGCCTAGCGGAACGGGAATGGCAGCAATGTTACGGAAAAGCGACAACATCTCGTTGTATGCAGTGTAATCTAGTTGATCAGCTTTTGCTCGAATCCAGAGACTCAGAGTCCAGACATACCGGGAATGAAGAAGCCCAAGTAGCAGTTGCCCAACACAGCAGCGATACGGATCAAACCCGCACGTCCACCAGGCACAATGCACACATTCTCCCATGTGTACTGGCTCTTGCGCCACTTGCGGTGGTGCTCGTTGTATAGTGTTGCGACCGCCTCTCTCAGCGGCCTGATACCAGCAGTCGGACCGTACTCTCTGCCATGAGCACTGATATCAACCTCCTTCGGCCTCTCAAAGCAGCCTTTGATGCTATCATCGACCTCGGGCGCTCCCTGACCAAGGTTTGCCCATTCTTCCGGATGTTCGAGGAAACCGTGCTTGTATGCTTGTTCTGACGTCCATACGACACCTGTGGAAGCGCGCGTAGCGTCAAGACCGGCGTGGGGCTTGTGACCTTCGTGCGATTGACGGAACTGGCGATGGATGGACGAACCGAGTTCTGCGACACGTCAGTAACTGTCGTATCCACATGAAGCTTTCTGCCAGGTTGTAAAGACCTGATTCGTGTCTGGTGTGTGACATGGCTGCGGACATTGCGCGTTGGGCTGCAGATAACAACGACTTGAAAGCGAGACAGCGACTTCCAAGAAAGCAGGAAAGTTGGAGAAAGATTGGGGTAAAACCCTCAAAAGATAAGGATTGGATTGCCGCATGAATCGAAAAGCTCACAAAGCCATCTTCGAGGGCCCGATTTTTCTCTGATCCACACTTGCGTTGGGTTGTACAGCTCAAAAAATGACGTAGGACACAGCATAAGAAGTATACCAAGACAAACACGTACCACTCTCGCTCGGATCCTTGGAACTCGAAAATCGCCTCTGGGAGAAAGCTCCCTTGAGGTGGCTGACCTTGTCTGCCGAGAAAGACATTGTAGATAAGCAGCGAGGTTTGCTTGCGAAATCGGGTTGCGGAATCAAGCTTTCGCCTAGCGGTCGCAGATCTTAGTGGGGGAAGGAGCAGCAGCAGACGGGAAGCAGGATCGGGAGACCCTGAGGAAGTATAGATAAGAAGAAGCTCCAAGGAAACGAGGGGCACGAGAATACGAGGGGGACAGCTTTCAAGTTACTAGATGAAATGGTACCTAGGGTAAAGTAAGGTAGGTATGGCGCGTCGGGCCTTTATAACTCGGCGTAACCGCGTGTCGCGGACACCCACAAACGCATGCACGCATCCACACTTGCAAGCTGCGTTGGTGGCACCTAGCCTCAAGCGTTGGTCTTCGACCGCTTCAGCCACCGGGGATAATCAATCGCACATATGAGGGATCCTTGCGACGTGGCTCAGACAGCTCCCAATGAAATTGTCTCACGGGGACGACTGTGTCTCGGATCGGTGCGTGTGTCTCGAGGGCACAAATCCTTTCTTGGTAACCCCCCGTCTCACCGCTTGAATCTTCGTATACGTAGCGTACGGTAGTTGTTCTGCCGAGTTTTTGCTAAGAAGACGAGATTCGGGGTCGGTGTAAGAACTTTAGATCGGGCATATGCACGTCGGCATTGGAACCCACCTGGCATGCACAGCGTACACGTATTGGACAGCTTGGAAATGCGGCCAAACATGCCCCTGTCAGCTTACGCCTCAGGCACCGCCAGATGTCACAGACGCAGCCACAAATGTCATCAACTTCCGCTGGGTTGTTACACGGGTGCTGATCGCTGGTTCAGCCGGCCCGTGGCGCCCAAGGGAATAATGCCTCAAATGCCTCATACACATCCAGCCCTATAATCAACGTGCTACTTATCTTTGTTTCAATCTCATGTTTCGTGTCCTCCGGCGAGACCGATGTCGTACAAAAAGGCTCGTATTGTACAAGTAACACTCAAACACCATAAAACATACTAGGGCTATTCGCTATCATCTATGTCGTGTAAGTGGGTAACGCAAACGACGGCGTAAACCTCTTTGGATGCAGTTTGCATAGAGGAAAAAGCTTAAAAGAAACAAGCTTCGTGGTAAAGCAAGGTCATAAAAGCAATGGTAGGTTACGTATAGCTGGGGAATAATGGCTTATGTCCGGTTCTACTCGAAAGCTGGTGTTCAAAAGGAAAGACGACGCGTCAAGGGGTACGCATGTCGTCCTTGAAGGAAGCCATACAACGATGCGACGGCAAGCCATCTCATAGGTGATAGCTTGATCTCTTTCGTGCAAAGGGCTACCATCACGGCGCATCTATCCAAGATATGGAAAGGAAGCGTCTACTCTCCTGATGTCAAAAGATTGGAGTCGAGGTAACAATGTACATTCTTATATACAGACTGATCAGCATTACTCGCAGTGAACTCTAGCAATCTCATATATCTTTACACCAGCCCCCATTTCTCAAAGCACACGCAAAAGGAACACAAGGAAATCGCTCTCTCTCCTCACAGCAACCTACTCAACAGGTTCCTCCTCCAACAACGCCTTGAAACTAAATGGCTCAAACGCCACACCATCACCAATGAAATGCTTACTCATCGCCTCCACCCAGTGCAATCGCAGACTGTGCAACATGGCGCTCGTACCCTCCATAACACACAACACCGCCACAGTCAACGCGAACCAAAAGTAAAAGACAAACACCATGATGAAAGCACCGGCTACGCCTTCAAAAGCGAACGCATTCTTCATAGTCATTTCCCACAAGACAATGGACAGACGTTGATGGGCGAGTGACAAGGCCCAGAGACGGAGGTAGGAGGCCGTGTGGGATACGCAGTTGAGGCAGAATTCTACGCCCTATATGTTAGTCTCGTATCCTAAAGACAGCGCTGTATGCGGAAGGGGGGTACATACCAATAGTGTGAATAACCTGATGGATCATGACTTCACTGAACTCAAACTCCTCTTCCTCCTCTCCATGCCCAATATCTTGAGTAATCATCGCAATATCCTCGTCATCACCGTAGCTGTCGCGACCACCATTCGCGTGACCGTTCTCGTCATCGTCGTCCAGCGCGCTGACTCTGGATGTCTCGCCGATACCACGGTACCCCATTGCGCGGGCCTTGTTGTGTTCGTAGCGGAGGTAGAATGGCTTGAGGAACAGAAGCACAGGCACACAGGCCAGTGCAAGCAGTAACAAGACAACTTGCACAAAGGCTTGACCGGGGTATAGAGGTTGGGTACCAGCTTCGAGTGTGCCAGGGCTCAAGAACATGTAAATCAACATGTTGAGCAGAGAAGGTGGGCTCTCGCCACGCGCAGGCCAGTCAATGCACCACTTGTATACGATGGTGAAAGCGAGGTAACCGAAGAT